CCACCCAAGGCATCATATTGACTCGTCATACATGATTGTAATTGTATATGTGACTCAATAAATATTATAAAACTGTTGGACGGTCACCTTTGGTCCTGAGCCCCTCAGTTAGCTTTATAACTCCTAATTATCAACCATTTAAATAAATTTGCTGTAAATGAAATTACTTTGATAATTGTAATTAAAGCTGTAATCACCATTTAAAATTTAAATAAAAAACTGAATTTGAATGGACCCATGGCCATCAGTTTACTAAAGATGGCAGTGATAAGATTTCACTACATGCTCTTCATTAGAATTCCAAACTAGATTACGAAGACAATAATGCAGGGAAAATAAGGCACGAGGACTGAACACTGAAAACATATTGACGGAATCTGAAAATGAAATTTTGCATGTATATCTAAAATAATTAACATGAAGTCTATGTCACAAGTATTTCAAATCTTCAATGAAATAACTGCTTATATTACAAATAACTTTCTAGTATTTGAATAGTTCAGAGGGGTGAAGATATTCAAGAATGGCTAATTTACGGAGATCCACAATAATATAATAAATAATATAAACAGCCAAACTTATAAAAAATACAATCAATACACACATGTTATTTCATCAATTAGTTTAGCATAATTATAATAACAACTCTGAAATTGCATTTCACACATTTACTTTAATAATATAAATGGAATACATTTCAATACAATGTTTACATATGAACAATAACTAATTTTCAGAACACTGAAGGGAAGATTCACAGGAATTTTATTATGAAAATCACTTATGAACACATGAAAATATACCATTGTATGTTAGTCTTCCTGTATCAAACAAAGATGAAGAACAATATATTTCAAGAAAGTCCAAAATATGCGGAAGATAAATGTTAAAATTATCAATGTTGCAAAAACGAAAACTTTTTCACAAGTTTCAGTGAAAATTCTACTTGAGATTTTTGTTTTCCTAAGAAATCTTGGAGGATAGGGGAAGTCCAACAAGATAATTTCTAGCTTCAATCAGATGAAATACCACAAGCAGGAAATGGTTTGTAAATTAAACGTAAGTCAAGGAGAGGATTCACTTCATAGCGATTTGGGAACACCAAAAGATAGTTCTAAAATTATGTTCTAAATAGTGCATTCACCTCAATCATTTCAAAAACATTTAAACAACACAAGCAAGCAGTTTTTAGAATTGCATCTTCCCAAACATCACATTTGAAATACTTTCTCAAACTATTTACTATAGGAAATGAATATTTTGTGTGACAAGTACTTTTATCCAGGAACATTAATGAAATACAAAACTAGAAATAACATATCATTTTTACATTGATTTCCCTAATACATTTTTCAAGGTTTGGCACAACCTGGCTCAAATAACTTTTTGGTGCACAATGATTTGATCAAAACTGTGAAAAGTGCAGCTATGGTCATGTATTTTAAATTTGGACAAGCAAATATATTAATATTTAGAACACAATTTCATCAAGTGTTTTGCCTTTTAAGCCCAACATATCTTGTACTAATAATTTCCATAACACCATCTGATACAAAGCAAAACAATAATTAAAGATCTTCAAAATCAAGACAATAACAGAAATCCATCAAGTTGATCCTAGGTACATTGAAATATTGACAATTTTATTACAACATGTAAGGATTAACATTTGGGCAAAGTAACTTAGTGATGCTCAAACTTATTTCAGTGTTACAAAAAAACATTTTCACAAAAATGCCCAAAATTTTATGTTTTCAGGTTACGTCTTCCCAAAAATGTTTAACACACATGAAAATAATTATTTTAAATAAGTGTTCTGAATTTGTTTCTCAAATTAAAATTACAAGAAACTACATTTTTCATAATCAACATTTCATTAAATACATTTCGCAAAATAATTTGGAAAATCACTTTCAAAAGTTATATTTTCTACACCTTACATTCAACAAGGCTTTGCTTCACATTTAAAGTAATACACCAGCAATCAAAAAAGGTTTTCTCAAAAACGTTATGTAGGATATATAACTTAACACAATATTTACAATAACATTTTTGAAATAAACTTTAACAATTATGACCTCTTGAGAAATCAACCAAAATATATAAAAATTTAACTCAGATAATTCTACAAAGTGAGCAAACTCAAATGATATGCCATTTCTGTTAAAATTATTCATTACCTAAAAATAATTAAAGATGCACATAAATTAAACTGAATGTGTGCTCGAAATAGACTCTTCTTCACCTGATGACAACAGCTCAGTATCAGATACTACTGAATTCATTCTCGGGCCATCGCGAGAGTCGTCTTCACTGTCAGATCCTTGCAACATACTACGAATTTGCGCAGTTGATTGTCGTAGTTGATGGTTTTGCAACGGACGCATCGGTGCCAAACGTTGCAAGGAAATAGTAGCTCTCTTCAGAGTGTAACCAGCTATCATTGGATTTACAGTATGTCTTCTGGATGACAACGAAGTGGGATCGTCTTGTTCAACCAGTTGTAACATTCGTCTATTATCGTCCCTTTCTTGCTCTATAATGTCGACTGCATTATCAACAATGTCCAGGCAACTTATAGCGCATCTCCTCAAGAAACGTAAATTATCATTCAATTTCGCGATGTTTCTTTGGGTGCGTTGCATTCTAGCACGCACACGTCGCAAAACCAGTAAGTCTTGTTGCCTGAGAACCTCTTCTTCATTTTGTTGTTGAGGATCAATTACTAAATTGGTATTTTCTTTTTCCTTAGACATAAAACGTCTACCCATTTCGTTTCAGAAGACTCTATCTGAAGAGAAACAGCTGTCAAGGCGGACGATCAAATAACAACCCTCAGCACTACTTCTGTCAAACACATAAACGGCCCTAATAAAATTCTGCGTTTCCAGGACTGACCAAAGAGTAGGGACTGACAAGTTTGCAGTAATACCACTGCACGACGAATGCAGGTCAACAGGACTGAACCTCGCCACGAAACAGTCAAATTCTGGTCAAAACAAACTGTACCAAGAACATTAACTCTGCTCAATACTCACACGTCAAATCGTGATTAATGAACCAGAGAGTATGTGGCTGATGAAGAGAACCGGCACCAAAGAATAACATGTAAAAATGGGTCGGCAACTTCGGTTCCTTTCGGGTATATTCGGTTTAAAAGCGAGGGAAATATAAGTTGACGGGATCCAATAGCAAATTCAGTGCCTCTCCCCCCCCCCTCAACTTTAAAAATGTATAAACAAAAGTACAATTTTCTTTAACTTTACCATTTTTCTCAAAAAGTTAGTAACTCTTTAGCTTTCTGCTTCACACAAATTAAATAGGTTTAATGTTTCATTGTTCTAGGTTGTTTAGAGACATTATGGTGAATAAATGCATTAACAGGGATGATGGAGATGTGCAATTTGCACAAAGTAAAAACAAATTAATTTTTCATGTATGTGAAAGATCTGTTTGATTAACACAGAGAACACCTCCGTACAAATTGTGATTAGATAGATAAAATTATTTTATGAACTAAATTTTCAGTATAAGTAAAATCTGTTCAAAATAACATTAATACACTATTTTAATAGAGGAAAGTTTTATTTTACAAATAGAATACTTTATCCAAAATTGAAATATCACAGACGCCAGTGTGCAGTTTGTGTAACAAAAAATAAATGTTAATTTGCAGGAAAAGAAAACCTGAAAAAACAGGGGAATAGTAGGCAGGCTTCCAGGCAACTTCATTTTCTATTTTATTGCTTTTATAAGTCATAGACTAATAGAAATGAAATGTTTAGTTTCATGAGTACTGGACGTACCAAGTACATGATGACATTTATTAAGCATTAGTAGACTACAAAAATGATTGACTTGCTTTACAGGGGTGGATCCAGAGACAAATTTTGGGAGGGGAAATTCAAAAGGTTTTGGTTGAATGCCTTATATTTCATATTTTGAAAAATGTTGCAGGCTCCTCTCATCTCATGCTATGAGATGATTTTATTCGTTTGAATGTTTATCCAAAAACATTTTTTGATTTAGTTTCATGACAAGTTAAAATTAATAGTTATTAAAAAAAATTAGGTGTGTGTGTGTGTGTGTGTGGGAGGGGGGTAATTTCCCTCTCTGTTGATCCACACCTGCAGCTTATTTTGAATCTAACAACATTTATTTGACTGGACACCTGAGTCAAGTCTGTTTTGTATCTTTTGTGGTTCTCAGAGAATTTTTCTGTTTGTTTTATGAGGGTGCTGCTACTCCAGTTAAGTAAATTATTTTCCTGGTCAAGTAATTTATTAATTGCTAGTGGAAGCATACTGGCATTTAAATAATTATGCAAGTTTATTTCAAATTATTAGGATAATAAAGATACTGATAAAGACATTGCATTACATTAAATTGATCAGTGCTACACAATGAGTAAAAGGATTAATATTCATGTTTTTAGAATTTGAATTTTAAATTTTCTTTACTACAAATTCTAAGGTATGATGATTTTTTTTTTTAAATACAGTTAAAGAAATTTAATTACAATCATCTTTAATTAATCACAAAAGTAATAAATATTTTTGGGCATTTTGTTAACTGAGGTATACACAATTTCCACTCACAAATGCTGTTACTTCTCAATCTAAGTGAGATAGAAGTTTATTAATTTTAGGTTTAATACTATTCCCATTTACGCAGAACTGAATGACGATCAGAAGAAAGTTGAGCCGATTATTTCAAGAAGCCCTGTGATCAAGCAAGCCAATAACACCCAAAAAACAACATCCCAAATGGAAATACAAGATATCCTTTTACCAGAGGAAAAAAGAAGCACTCAACCAAAACCAAAAGATTATATCCAGAACAAGAGAAAGGTTTCAAATAAACCTTCAACCACAGTCCCCAACACACAAAAATGAACACAAAAACCTATACATCAGAGTAAGAAGATGAACCATCACATAAAGAAAAAAAAACAACCGAGACACTGAGAAGAAAAATACCAGAGAGTAGGACAGAGATAAAAATATCGGAAGAAATAAAGGTATAATTAGCACAAAAGATCCAAAGTCATGTCAGATAAAAGAATGCATAAATGCTGGATAAAAGAATGCATGGATGTTTGTGGGAAGATTAACATTTCAGATTGGGGAAGATGGTATAAAAGAACACCTATGCAACAGTTGAGAAATATTTTGCACAGAAATTGAGACAAAATGTAATATTAATAAAGCCTTAAAAATAGGAATCAAATTTGAAGAACTAGACACGATTGAACAAACTGACTTTTAACCACAAGGAGTTATAATGCAACCATTTCATTTTTAAAACCATAGAAGATATAGTACCTGAAATGAGAGGCCATCTAGAAATCTTAATCACAAGAATGCAAAATACTAAAGAGAAACATTAAATACTAAAATTTGGAACATGGAACAAAAGATAACTATGAAACAAAGAAGAAAACTTAGAAATGGAAATAATAGAGAGAAACATAGATATGGCATGGCTATACTGTCAGAAAATAAAAAGAAAGGAAATAGAAAACAAGAGCTAAAGATACACCTTGTAATATTCTCAGAAGAAAAGAGAGAGAGCAACAGTTGGTGTGGCAGTGATTATAAAAAGTTCATGGAAACATAATATTAAAGATTATAGATTCATTTCCCCAAAAATAATAACTACAAAACTCAAAATAACAAAAAGAAAATTAGTGGAAAACCAGTGGAAGGAAGAGGCGAAGAACCAACAAAATTCCATCATACATTGCAAACTGTAGATCGTGTGAGAAGAACACATAATAGCTGGTGACGTAAATACACGAATTGGCATAGAGGATCAAAGGATGTAAAGGAGAAGTTATCAACAACAGTGAAAAAATGCTAAGTGTCGGCTGTACATTTAATAATCTGAAAATTATGAACTCCTTTTTCCAACACAAAAGCAAACACAAATTGACATGGGAAGGCAGAGGAACCAAATCAATTATTGATTATGTCCTTGTGAGAGACTACTTTCTTGAAAAAGTACAAGATATTAGGCACTGATCATTACCTGCTTGAGAGCAAAAATAATATCAATCCCCAACACTGCAAGAAGAAAGCGGCAATGAGACCCAAATTAAAGGTACACCTTTCAGAAGAAGTATTAGATATTTATTTGAAAAACAAATTGAGGATCAACTACAAAAATTAAATAAACAAAACTAGAAATAATCTGGACAACTCTGAAACAAACATTATTGGAAGCAGCTAAGGAAAGGTTAGGAGTTACAAGACCAAAAAAGGGGAAGTGGATAAGATCCTGGAATGAAGAAATACAAGAAATCATTCTAAACAAGGAGGCTTATAACAAAGTCATACAGAAACAAGACTACAAAGTACATAGAAAGAAGAGAGCAAAAACAAGGAAAGAAACAAGAAAAAAAAAGAAGGCTCGAGGAAATTTGTAAAATTATTAGAGATCATAAAATCATTGGACCACAAAGAGTTGGCTTTAAAATACCAAGAATGCTTGGGACAGACACAAAGTACATCTTGAACATAGATCTAATACCAGAGACAGTGTGGATAAAACATTATACAAAATTATGGAACAAAGACAACCACCTATCAAACATAAAAATGACCTCAGACCTGGAGAATCAACCAGCGAAAGAAATAACAATTGAAGAACTTGAACAAGAACTTCAAAATGCTAAAAATAGAAAAACCCTTGGAATAGATTAAATTAATATAACTTGTCAAATGTGGAGGAAAAGAACTAAAAGTGATTTTGATAGAACTATTTAATGAGTACAGTGAAAACTTTGTGGGCAAAGAACAATGTGGATTCAGGAAGGGCAGGAGCACAAAAAATGTTATATTCACAATCCAAACTATATTAAAGAAAAGAAATGAAAGAAACCTACCAACGTATATGATATTCATAAACTTTGAAAAGGCTTATGATATGGTGAACAGGGTTTAACTGTGTATTATTATTAAAGGAATAAAAACACTATACAGACTCAAAAATTACCATAAAAATAAATAATGGGACCATCATAAAATTACTTCTTACAAATGAGTACTGAGCCAGAGAGATAGCCTATCACCCAACCTTTACAATATTTATACCAATACTCTCATAAAAGAATGGAAGAAGTCAGTAAAGCAAGGCATTTAAATTAAGAAAAAACAAACTTTACAAACAGTCCTACTTGCAGATGATCAAATAATTTTGTCTAAATTAGAACATGAACTCCAAATAGCAACACACCAACTGAACACAATAGCAAAGACCTTTGAAAACAAAAACAAAAATAATAATAATAATAATGATAATAATAATAATAATAATAATAATAATAATAATAATAATAATAATAATAATAATAATAATCTTAAAAAAATAAAAACCTTAAAATCTCCACGAAGAAAATAAAAACAATGGCCTTCCAAGGAAAGGAACTAAGAAGAGTGAAGACAGTCATTGAAGGAGAAATAATAGAGCGAGTTTCAACAATCAAATAGTTAGGCGATGACATTGGACAAAACTCCCAAGCCCTGCAACACAAAATTTTGAAATACAATAGAAATGGAAAAATTAAAAGACTTTTGGGAAGGACATGACACAGGAAACCAAATTAAGAAAAAACAATATGACAGCCAAGGCAATGCCATGAAATGGATCCGAAACCTGGATTCTAAAACAAAGAGACAATCAAAGACTAGAAACAGCTCAAATGAGGTTTCTGACACCACCTTAGCTATTCTATACTGGATAGACAGAAATAAAGACAAGAAGAGATTGAAGACAAGCATAACAGAGGAAGTTAAAAATAACCAGGGAAAATGGCTGGAACATATTAAAAGAAAGAAGAAAGATTCCCAAAGGTCTCCCTAAAATATAATACACTTAGACAGAGAGATACAGAAAGACCAAGAAAGAATTGGATCAGACAGGAATCCCTGGAAGACTGAAATATTTCAGGCCTATTGCTTAACTAGAAACAGGCCTCTGCCAGGCCTCTTTCATTCTGCAGTTCACTATGGTGATGATGAGAATTAATACTAAGACACCTAACCCAAAATTACATGTAATTTCGTAATCTGAGATATAAGAAAAACAGTGTTGACAAATAAGAAATGCTAACTGAAAAGTTTCTCTTCTGTTAGATAACAATACAAATCTCTACAAAAATTTTTCTCCAAATATTGGAGATTATTAATTATATGGAGAAAAAAAATCGTCGCTTGGTTTAAATAAATCTTCTCAAAGGGATATAATGGTTATAAATTTGTAGAGAAACACTTTCTTATTGCTATAGCACAAGTTTACTTGTATTATCATTCAGATACAAAGAATTCCATAGCAATTACTTAAGTCATGAGCTTAACTAAAAATGTGCAATATTGACAAATATGGATCATCATTATTGTTAAATAATAATCAAAAGCATTGAGCCCCCTGAAACTTCAAAGGATAAAAAAGATCACAGCAAATTTTATTTTATATCTATAACAATTTTAAATACATCAGGAAATCTTAATAATAATACATTTACAAAAGGTAATGAAAGAAAATTAAGCTTTAATGAGAGTGTTAACGTATGTTTTCGAGTGTAACGTCCATGTTTTCTGGATCAAGTGCAACATACTGGACTCATTTAATCAATTATAGATTACTTGCATTATGTTCTCACTCAGAGACAAAATTCCAACCATAGCAGCTATTTGCATCATGAACTTAAATAAATGTGAAATATTGACAAATAGGCCTCAATATTATTGCTAAATAATAATTACAAACATTTAGTCCCCTGAATCTTAACACAAGAAAAAAAACAGAAAATTCTATTCTAAATCTCTCAAAATTGAAAATAATGATTACAAATCCTCTGGAATATCTTATAAATTATTAACAAATTTACAAAAGGTAATAAATGAAGCTAACACTTTTATGCGAGAGTAAACATAATTCACATTTAATGGAACATATGATAATAATTATTTTGGTTCTCATTTATTTAATCAATTATCAGTTACTTGCATTATATTCTCACACAATGAATCAAAATCATATGTAATGATGTCAACTGCTTCACAATCTTGATCCAAATTACTTTCAACTACAACATCTCCTTGGAAACCTTCAATCTCCAAAGTCTGAGGTTCACTTTGTTTGTCTGTCTTGTGATATCTACGTGTGTGCCTATACAATGAAAATCTACCTCCAAACTTTTTATCACATAAATAACAGGAAACCACATTTCCCACATGAATATTGATGTGGTCCTCGTACGTCCCCTTGTACCTGAACTGCTTGCGACAGTAAGGGCACTGGTACTGGGGTGGATGGTGGATAGTTTGATGTTTTATCTTAAAGGATAGAGTTCGAAATCTCATATCACACACCATGCATTTGAAAGGTTTTTCTCCTGTGTGAACACGTTCATGCGCTACCACATGATGCTTGTAACAGAAAATTTTATCACAATGTTGACACAGCCATTTATCTGCTGACTGATGCACTAAATATCTTTTTTCGTTGTGAAAACGATTAAGACAAATACCACATTTTACTTCCTTTGGAATATTCAAGTGAACTATTAATGATAATTTATTGTCAAAAGTCTCTTCACACACAGAACATTTAAACACAACTGAATCATCATCAAGACCATCTGTATCTATACTAAATATCAAATTTATGTTTCCGTTTTCATGGTTTTTAAGATGAGTTTCGTAACCAGTTTTTGTAGAAAATGTTTTACAACACAGTTCACAAAAGTGCTTAATATCCGGTTTAGGTTCATGTCGTGTTTTTGAGTGATAATCTAATGTTTGCATGGACCGGAAACACTTGGCACATTTGTCACACATGTAATTTTTGGGAAGAGTATGTGCTTGTTTCATATGCTTCTTCAGATCTTTCCGAGGGAATTCTTTACCACACACTTCACAAACACCTGGTAACTCACGACACACGACTATGTGCTTGGTGCGAAGTTTGAAGAATCTAAAACTTTCACCACAATAACTACAAATGAACTGTTTGTGCTTCAATCCAGATTCAGAACCACTTCCTTCCACTTCTTTGCAATTTGATAAATACTGCTGTGCTGGCTCCATGGGTTTGGTAATGGCTCCTACAAGAGTATTATGTTCCTGTACAACCCAAGACACGGTCCTCCGAAGGTGCTGTTTGTACTTTTCACTTTCCATAGCTTCTCTGTCTGCTCTGCACAAGAAATCAATAACACTAACATTGACACAAAAGGTTGGTTCAAAGTCACTACTTTTTATCAGATCAAAAAAAAAAAATTACTAAAGATAAGAAAGTATTTCCTTTTACAGCAATAAGTTTCCAAAACAGCATGTTATGCAAGCATCTGCAGCACGATTACAAATTGTGAAATGCCAGTTCTGAGCATCCTTCTGAGTGTCCTAAGGACCAAACTGAAAATAACATTCTGTTTACCATAAATTTCACCAAGCTCTGGACTTACATTCACTTACTCACAAGTGTTATGGCATCTGCACAAATAAAAAATTAAGCATTCTTACAAGGCAATAAAAACGAAAAGTAGTAATACAATTTAAGAATATTTTTCTAGTTTTTAAAAACTTATTGGTCTACAGAAATAAATTAGTCATGACTCCTTAACGGATAATTAAAACATTTTTTCTGTCTAGACCCCTTCCCTAAAAAGGGTCAATTTTCAATTATTGTCATTTTTTGTTAAATTACTTCCCAACCCCATTGATCCCATGATCAGTGAGCTACATCTCGCATTGAAGGTGTAAGCCATAAGTTCCTTAGGGACCAACAGGACCATGTCCGGGGGCTATGTGCTATTTAAGTCTGTAAATTAAAAATGAAATAAAGAGTTTTATCTGAAACCGTGCCAGATAAAATCGTAGAAGAAATAAATGAAGGGTCGTTTTTCTATTATAATGGACACAACGCTAACAAATCAAAAGATAACCAAAGAAGTCAAATTTTTTATTATATGTAACCAGGCGCAGGCCCATGGGCAGGGAAACGAAGGAAATTTCCTTCCCTTTTTGGTGTTGTATATGATTAAAAAATGAATTTTAGTATGCGTATTGATATGATTATAAATAAATATTTACAACAACTAGGACTGATCAACAGAACGCATTGGGAGAGAGCCTTGAAAACTTTGTATTATTGATTAGTTAGATCTCACCTACTTTTACTTCTACAGTCTGGTTACCGTATTTGATTTTCACATCAACAAGGTTAACAGAGTACAGCATAGATTTTTTCGATTTCTCTCCTCAACACTTGGCTGTACTGTTCTGATTCAAAATAATTACGCAAAAATCTTGCAAATGTCGAGTATTCCAACTCTTAAATCGTCTAGGACCTACAATGACATTGTTTTCCGGTATAAGCTATTTCATGGTACCATAGATTGCCCATTATTACTTAGCAAAATGTTATTTCATGTCCCTAATAGGTCTACTAAACATATTGAACCTTTTTTCTGGCGTAATTATTCTCAACATCAAATATTTTTTTCTTTGGAACTTTAATATTTTAATCTTAATATGAGTGTGTAGAGAACATGTTTGAGATCATCAGTTCTTCAATATACATAAATAATTATATACTTGAAATATATGTAATTTATTTAGTATATACTTAGTCACTATGCTATACTTGTAAATTATTTTTTTCTTACAAATTTTATTTTTGTTACAAATAATTCTTGTAAATGTTGTAAATTGGACATATTAATATCCATACGGTCAATAAATTAATGAAATCAAATTGTTCAGTAACTGTTATTTTAACTGGTTACGGAACTGTCAAGCAAATGTTTTTTTTGGATAATCATTAAAACAAACAAAATCGTATTGCAGCATGAGCTGAGTGTAGACTGCGACATTTTATAAAATCTGTAATATGACATTCGACCAAAATATTTTTAATTTCCCCTCCCAAAATTTTTGTCTGGATCCGCCTGATGTAACCATTGAGAAAAATGAATGCAAGAGATTAACATAAAAATGAATGAATCTTACATAAGGTTTAAAAAAGTCAAAGATCAATATTCACAAGGGTTGCATTTTGGTACGTAGATAGCAAATGAACAGTTCAAGAATATGATGGCGCAGCAGTTATGAGTGGAATTTACAATGGTGTTCAGAAAAAAAAGATGAAGTTGACAATGCATAGTTTATCATTTACACTGCTCATAATATAAATATTATGCTTATGCAATAGATTAGGATATTTTAATATTTAGCAAGATTTAACAAAAAATACATTTTCTAACAAAATATATAATGTGAATGAATTTTTTGTAAATTTTGAAAATGTCCCAGGAGCTTTAAGTAAAGTACTCCCTTTGAATTACAATATCCGTTTCAAATTCAAGGGGCAGCTTCATCAGCCAGATCGATTGATGAATGGCAGTTCTGGAGAAAATCACCTGAATGGTTTAGCTTTGTTCACAGACAGACTGATTTTGTCATCAGTTGATCTTTTTTGAACCCACTAAACATGGATTCTGGCTACACCACATGTTAAAGGATTTTCCCCCCTAAATGTAGCAACTGGATTAGCATTTTTTTGCTACCAGGGCCCTGTAATATGGGTTTTCAGCTGAAAATACACGTTTTTTTCGCACAGCATTACATAACTTTCCCTCTACTACGTAAGCAGGAAGTATGTAAAATGATATAATAGAATTACCCAAAGTCTGAAAAGTAGAAGTGAAAGTGTGCGCCAAGATAAGATAGAAAAAGTACTTTAAAACCAAATTATACCACCACCCACACCGCTCTGCAGCCAAAAACATGCTTTTTTTTTTCCATCCAATCAACGGTATTTTATCTGATTGAAAAATAAGAAAATAATTATGCCTTCAGAAAAAAATGATATTTTATCACAAAAAAAAAAAAAAAAAAAATATTTAAAAAAAATAATTTTTAGTCTTAGAACCCTGGAATAGGCCTGAAAAAATCTCAAAACGCAAATTGTTGTGAATTTTTCTCAGATTATTTGACTGCTGGGCTGCAGTAAACAAAAACAATAACTTTTCAAGCCTATACGTATAAAATGGTTAATTTTATCAACTTAAATATTGTATAGTACATAATTTTCTGTGGGATTAATAGTTATGGAGATCTACTGCAAAAACATCAAAGAAGCACCTTCAAAGTGCTGCTAACCCCTGACTCATCCCCCATACTTCAGCATTTTTAGAATGTTATACAGAAGGTACCAACAAACAATCATGCCAAGTTTCAAAACTCTGCGATTTTTTTTCACTCAATTTTTCTAATTTGACTGGGCTCTTCTTACAGTTATGTAAATTGAATAGAGGTGTTGTAATCCTTACATTTTAAGGAAAAAACACTTTTTTAAATATTTCTTGGAAGTTTATTCTGTTACTAAAGGAATGCTGATTTTATTTTATCTTCAATACATTAACAATGTGTGAATAACATTTGGAAGTCAATTGAAACATTAAAATTATCAATTCATAAATACACTTATTCAGACAGCTAACCATTATTGTATAGAGGTTCAAGTACAAGCAAAAGGAACTGTAAGAAAACTCACTTCTGCCATGGGAGCACAATTCCTCTTTGTGTGGTTGACGTATTAATTTCTACAAAATTAAATACCCTTGGGTCTCGGAGTGTCTATTGTTAGTCCTTTCTTGAGGCTTTGAGGTATGTGAACTGTCCCAGTTATATTAGAATTGATATTTATGACGGTACTTGTGACTAAGATGTTGGTCGAAGGGGTGTTATTTAATTAAAAACGGTATATGAAACTTCAGAGAATTACTGAATATTATTTTACAAATCATAACATGATTAAAGTAATTGTGAAATTACAACACAGTTTGTTTTTACAAGTGAAGGAGTATTGGATTGTTGATGAATGTGCTGCAGAAGCAGTTGTGGAAGGAGTGTGTGCTGGAGTTTTATGAAAGATGGACATGTGGTGTCCTGCAAAGACATTAGTTTTTTATATTATAGTTTGAAAAGTAAGCAGTAAAGTATGTTAATGGTATTTATGTAAAAGAAAGTTAGTCTAAATGCCTCAAAATGAAAAGGAGATGGAAACACAAGTGAGAGACACACACTATAGTGCAGAAGCGGACAATGATAATTAACCATGCATGCAATGTGGATAGACATTGCAATAACCAAATAGTTCATTGTTTGCAAACAAAAGGGGAAGAAACAAAATATTTAAAAATGAGTATTTAATTGCATGTGTCAATTAGTTAAAGTCATTGTGATGTCATATAATCATTTCTGTTATTGTTGCTTCATGCATTATCAATTTAAGTTAACTGTTTAAAAAAAATGTGTCAAATGATTGTAAATATTAAGTTTAAATTGGAAATGTTATACTAATCACTTTTGTTTGGGAATAGAAAGAAAATGCTTTTTTTAAGTCAGTATAATAAAGTGAAATAATATGATTTCACAGAAAGTTACACTGAGGGCATGGTTTCCTGTATGTATGTTTCATATGTTGTGGAAACTGGGCTAAGCAACAGAGTATTTAATCTGTCAGGTAAGAAGTTATTCAATAAGAACAACAAATTAACGTTTATCTGTAGAGGCATGGTTTTTCTACAAAATCTCTCTCTAACAAATAAAAGCTGCAAAAACATACATTTCACAATGTGGATTTTTTTAAGGTCTCTAACAAGTTACGACAATGGTGGACAGGTACTATTGGGTTGTAATGTCACAGTGTCACTGATGGGCAAGTATTTGCGACGACGGGATACTGTCTACAAGATGGGTAAAGTGTTGGTTCCCACAATTTATAAAGGAATTGTTATTAAAAAAAGAAAATCGTGAAGCCTTACTCCAGAAAAAAGATGGAAATTATAATACATCTGATTATAAGCCATCTCTAATTCTGTGCACTAGAACGCTAACAGAAGTCAGTGGCCACAACAGCACACACTTTTTCATGTTATTTCTAAATTTTCAAACATTCAGTTTAATGAATTGAGACTTGCACCATTTGTTTAGCTCCCTTGTTCCATTCATGGAAAATGTTTTTAAAAAAATGGAGAGCTTTTTTTTTAAATGGACCATTTTCATGCATAAATTATGTGGAAACTATTTTTTTTTCACAAAATGTACATAATCTTTTTTAATGATCCGATGCTTTAGAATAGATTTTGTCGAAGTCAAAAATTTCTGTCTTCAATATTGTAGTATTGAAATGTTAACTTTTTGCAATTTTCGAAAATAAAGAGAAAATGGAAATGAGACTAGTACCATATTTACTAGGCTGTCTGGGTGACACCGCGTCCATGGCGAAGGTGCACCTTCACCATGGACGCGGCATCACCCGGACAGCCTAGTAAATACTGACTTTAGCCGCGGAAGCCTACGCTCTCACAAGACTAGTACCAATTGTTTTACTGTCCTTTGATACATACAAGGAAAAAATTTTCAGAAACAAATTGGAGCCATTTTTAAGAAAATAATTATTTTACAAAATTTTTAAAAATTATTACATTTCATGCAAAATTATACAAAACTATTTATATTTTGAAAAAAAAAAAAAAAATTATGTCAAATACAGTCCCATGTGTCTTTATAACGTAGTCATGTACTAAACTATTTTATGCCAAGACTGAAATTAAAAATAATTTCAAAATTTTTCATAACATTCAGTTTTTGTGTTAATAGAACCCTTTTTCTTCCTCCATGGCTAAAGTTGCAGTAACAACTCAAATTATAGCAAATACTTGAAATAAATTGCATTTCATTTTGAACAAAAAGTACATCAACTTCCAAACAAATTGAACCATAAAAACAATGCCGGGCCCTGATAATGAAAAAGTAGATAAATCCAAGTGCTAAATGTAGAAAAAAATCCTCTAACCTGTGGGGTAGACAGAATCCATGCTTTGTGGGTGGTCCTTGACACCGAAAAATTGATAGACAAAAAACCTCCTGTCTGTCTGTCTGATGTAAGGTACAACACTAGCACCTAAACAATGCCTAGATTTTACTAAAATTGAAGAAATCCTTTTTCATCTGTCCTGAGTCAAAGATCTGCGATTTTGAAAAACATTCATTAATTTTGGGGAATATTTTACACAAAGCCCCAGGGACAATTTCAAAATTTTCTCAAAAAGTCTCCAAATTTCTTTCTTTAGATTTCTTATAGGAAGAGAGTAAAATATACTAATAAAGTTGGCATAGGTCTGATTTTACGGCTAACTGTAAATTTTTGATAATTACAAAAGGTTTTTCAGTGACTTACTACAACTACAAAATTGAAGATTAAGATTTTCCCTTCAAATGAAATTTGTTGTCCATTATTAGTTCATTCGTAAAGATCCTCTGCATTTCTTTGAAAATTTTAGTTTTTGCACAATATACGTTCAATATGAGCAATTTTAACAAATAACATAAACAATATTTTCTCAAATACAGCTCCAATTTTTTTCTTTAAATTTTTGGTAGGGAAATTGCTAATTGTACTCTTTGAGATGTCATCCAATGCCATAGTACTCTATTCTTTAGTTTTGCCACAAATTTCATTTTTAGACTCGTCTCTCAGGTGCATTCTATTTGCATTCATGGCGAATAGATCACATTATTGCTTTACGCGTAAATGTGCTTTCAATGATGCCATATGTTAATTTTTCTCAAAAACTCAAAAGTTTTCTGTGAAAATGAGCTCAAAATTCTGCATTTTCAGAAAAACTTAATTGCCATTTTCTCAAAAACAGCTCCAAATTTTTTCTTCAAACTTTTTGTACGGTTAGTGTTAATTGGAAGGTTTAAGATAACATAGCTGTAGTCTGTTGTTTATTAAAAATTTACACAAATGAAATTGTTTTGAAATATCTCTCATACCATTAATACGATCATTTCCAGCAATTTGTATACACTATTGCATTTGTGAATGGAAGTGCTTCAAATGATTTTCAATAAATTTTTAAAAACTAAAAAGATTTCTGTGAAAAGGAGCTTCAGATTTACAGAAACGTTTAAACAGCATTTTCGAAGAAATGGCTCCAAAGTTTTCAACCACAATATCTATAATATTCTTGAAGTACTTTTTCATTTCTGCCATAAGGAAACCAATAAATTGAGCAAATGTGAAAAAATTGTTTGGGAGGCAAGAGATGGCAGCTGGCAAGAGGACGGGGCACGATCCAAAAGCAAAGAAATTAGGAAACTTACAAGAAAGTCTGTGCCATTCTGTAGCACCACCAGTTTAATTTTAAACCATCAAGTAATTATTAAATATAAAACTTTACATTTCAATTTGGTTGTCATACAAATCCCCCCCCCCCCCCAAATTCGCCTCTGGATCTGCACCTGAATTAGAACAAAAGTAAATGAAACAATAGAATTTTAAATACTTCAAGTTGATATCCATGAATTTTCTGTTTATTTATTTTTATATACAATTACACTTATTCAGTGATGAAGGAAATAAAATATGCCTAAATAAACTATTATGGTTTCATCTACCAACCTGAATTTTTTAGCTGTAAGTTAGAAATCCTACAATGGTCAACAAATAAACCAATTTAGGGTATTCGCAAAAAGCTTTCATGAATGTTGTAATGTAGTAAAATTGTTAAGAAACCAAATATACTGTGTGATCTCTACAATAATTTTAGTAGACATACCTTTCTTTAGGATCCTCAAATAGGGCCTGCAATATAAACAGAAGTTACAATTATTAGAAAAGAAAAAAGAGTGAGAACTCTCGGCGAATGTCCCTCATGTAAAATAAAATATATATAATTTAATCTACTGATACAAATACTTCATGAAAAATACAAACTGATGCTAGAAATATTACACTTACATCTGTCTGATCCACACCAAAACTTCTCCGAAGAATATTATCAACAGCTACACATGTAATGCTTATTTCATGAAATTTGTCCAACAAATTTGAACACACTGAGCAAATATTTAGAGGCAAAGACTCTGCCTTATCAATCTGCAACAATGGACAATGTCACTTCACAATGCATTCAGCGGGACATATAGGTTACCCCTTTAAAAGTATGTACAGTAGAGCTCCGGTATTCAGAACTAATTGGGGATGTGATCTGTTCGGATTATCTGAAAAAATGTACTGTACATATCACTGCAACGTATCATAATGTGCGATGTGAGAAAATTGCAATATAGCATAACATGACAAAGTGGCAATGTTGCAAACAACGGAGAACAGTACAATACATACATATCTGATTGTATGATATAGTGGTTGTTACAATGTTTAGAGAGTTGAAGCATAGTTTGTGTCCCTGCAGTCAACTAGTATTCTATGTACAGTATTTAGAATAAATTGGGTTGACTTACACTGTGTTCGTGCATTTATATTAATAAATTAATACAAATCTGGTATTACCCTGTACAGTACAATGTCAAGCAAACGAAAACATAGTTCCTGTATGTTAAAAGAAAAACTGGAAGTACAGTAGTTCAGTTCCACGGTAATTATAAAACCCTTTCTTTACACTACAAATAAGCATTTTATTTATTTTGTTTATTTGTACCTCCATCCCAAATCTTGTTTGGATTATCTGAAATTTCAGATTTGTAGGGTGCAGATTATCGGGGTTTTACTGTAATTCAAATACTCTTCTTTGAGAATTGAGATAAGATATTGAGAATTAGAGATAAGTTAATTACTGCAGAAACAATAAAAGGATGCTTGCCATGCCTTCAAAGGTGTATCTTTTACACACAAGCACAGTATAAAAATACATTTCAAAAGTGTCATTTTTTGGAAAATTGAACAAAAATTATTATAACTTTTCTCCAAAAATGTACACAGTAAAATCTGTCTAAGGCAGGACCTCTGTAAGACGGAAACCTGCCATCCTGGACAAAAAATTGCAAAACAGAACAATTTTATACGTGCAAACACAGAACTAACACAGAAACAGAATGGTTTCTAGGGAATATAAATATAGATGATTGCCTGGTTAAGAAGGAAATTTATTTTTAAATTTCCAGTACTAACTTTGGAATGACATTGTGCAAAGAGTACCATCCTGAGAAAATAATGTGAACAATGAGTTATTTCTCGTACACATGTTCTCTTTGTCTCGATTTGGTGTCATTTTCAAGGACTTCATTGATGTTGCTCTGTATCCTTAACTTTAGTCTTCCGCATTATGTTCAATTCTCAAAAGTGTCACCACGTTTTCATCAGTTGACAACAGAATTCCAGTAAGGCTGCCTTGTCATCCTAGAGTATCTGATAGAGTGTAGACCACACGATTTAGTGACCGTCCACAGTATAGTGTAAAAAAGCCATGTGCTAATGAGGCAAAGTGTTGTTGAAGCGTATGTCCAAAATCCCTCCAAGACACAAGAAAAGGGATGTGATTGGAGAAAGCCAGAAGAAATATTCTGCAAAAGACCTAGTTGCAAAATTCAGCGAATAAATTTTACATTTTATAAAATAAGGACAAAATTCCAAAACAAATGGTTAATAGGACAAAAATATATTGAAAATACTGTTCTTATATTAAACAGTGAAATTTCGGTGACTCTCTATTAGACGGATATTTGTGAACGAACCATCAGGTTCCATCTAAGAGAGATTTTACTATACTATCTAAAAGAAGTTGTAATTAGCTGCTACGCCTACAGGCAGGATATGATAATGATTTGATTAACAAATTAGCAAATATTTTAGAAGAGAACACTGCAAAGTGGAAAGTAAGAAATGTAATCATATATTCCCAGAACATATCCAACCTACTAGAAGATTTATTAGAAAATTTCAGTGTTCAAATTCACAGTAACAAAGATGTAAGACAGCATTGATCCCCAAGGAGTCAAATTAACAACAACTATAACAACTAAATTTTATTATCTTTCATGAAAAATATTTTAAATACTTTGTATTCCACAAAAATGTCTCGTTGACACACTAAGCCATCCTTAAGAATGTCTCAAGCTTAATAAAATAAAGGTACTCATGCCCATAAAGGATTCTTTCCTGTTCCACTTGTGTTGCAGTTGTTATAAGGTCATATGTAATTTCCAAAACGTCGTGTTTCAAATTTAGAAACCCAAAAGGACTACACTAAAAGAAATTATGATTATAACATATTTTACTTGCACTGCTTAGTTGATGTCATGACTATATAGTTCGTTGGAGGGAATTCAAAAGGTTTGAGGGTCTCCCTAAAACACCACACTTAGGGGGAACATAAGCCTTAATGATCTTCAACATACTTTATTGCCTCTATTTTGAGATAACTAGCAAAATATCCGGGATTACCCGGTTTTTGTCAATCCTTTTGAGGAAGAAAAGGTCTCCTTGTCTCTATCTTTGTCTGTCAGTCTTTCTGTCCCTTTATTTCTGTGTCTGTCTCTCTGCCTGCCTATCTCAGTTGTCTCTGCCTCCCATCGTTTCTCTCTCTGTGTCGCTGCCTGTCTTTTAGCAATTTTCTTGTCAGAAATACACCTTTTCATTTGGCTTAATTTTATTTTCAATACTACAAACTGTATAGGTAAATCTAAGTTTCTGACCTAAGTACTGAAATGGGGTTAATAAAATATAAAATCTTTAAGAGTACTATAAAATTAAACATGCAAAGTACAAAAATAAAACAACTACTGCTCGCTAAAATAAAATTTTAGTTTTCTACTTTTAATTATTATCTTATCTGGATTAGTGGAAAAGTTGGTGAGGCAAGACTTCACAGCCCCTCCAAAGCGCAGCATAAATTACAAAAAAATTTGGTAGACAGGTGTTGGATTAAGAAGGGACCCAACTGACAGCTACTCTGGCTATGGCAGGCAACTGAAAGGTCTGTCCTCACACCCCCCCAAAAAAATATTAGAAGGCTCATCCAAGAGGGTATTTATTGTTGTTTCGACTATACTGTATTCATTAATACATTTTTCATTTTTTGAACACTTTTCTAGATGGTATCAATCACACTTTTGATTACACAGCTCACAGATATATTTTTCACTCGGTTCATGGAATTTCCCCCACTCGATGGCGAGATCCAGCACCATTCTACAAGTCAGCTTGCAGGATTCCCCAATCAGGTATCACCCACTGGTGTACCACTGGCCCAGCCAGGACAAGCTGCAAGCTCCTGACTAGTTTCCCAACAACTGTGTGTGGTGCATGTGAGTGTAAGTGTGTGAAAGTACGGGAGGATAGGACGTGGAAGAGGAAGGAAAGATTGTGCATGGTCCATTGCCTGTCGGATAGGGTTCTGCTTTGACATTCGCCTCATGTTGATGAGAGAAACCAGGGAAAACTACCGATCAGAGCACTTGGCCACTAGAATCCTCCTCCAGACTGCAGATGAATTTGACCTAGCTGTCTAGCTAGTGTCGAAAATCCTACCACCGTTGAGACTCTAACCCTAGGATCTTGACCACTTATGAAGTCCTTGCACGAGCCATCAACAAACATTATTGATCGATTGTTCAGTGATTCCAGGCATGTCAACTACCAGGGTCATTAGTCCTGTAAGTGTAATGCATGTTTTTTTGCTTGGGAGGTGGCGCTAATCTTTCCCCCAGTATGGCGAGATCTGGCACAGACCTACTGTTGGCTAGCGGGGTTTTCCCAACCAGGATTCTTCCAACAGTGGGGACCGCCCCAGCTGGGACAAGCTCTCAGCTCCCAACATGTGAGGTAGTGTAGTGCGTGTTAGTGTAAGTGTGTGTATGTGTGTGTGTGTGTGTGTGGGTGTGTGTGTAAGGGGTGAGGATAGGACAAGAAAGGAGAAGGTAATATCACGTGTGCTTCGTGGCCCGTTTGTTAAGGTACTACTTTGGCATTCGCCTGGTGTTGATCGAAGCAACCACAGAAAACTACTGATCAGAGGAACCGGCTGAACAAACATGAATATCTTATGAATTCTTATATCTTATATAATATCTTATGTGTGAGTGAACTGCTGTCATGGCAGAGGGATACTTCCCTCAGGTAAATATGAAGTCCACTTGTTGATGTCCACATGTTGTTTTGAACTGTCGCTTTGGTCCTATCTAAGGCTAACTGGGCTATGGATGATACAACCAATCAATTCACATACACAACAAATGCAAATACCTTCACGGGAAGATACATCTTTATCTTTGTAGCAATTGAAGAATTGATCTCTTCTTTTTCTTCTTCTGAGGAATTTTCAAATATTGGCCTCAGTTGGCTCTCTCGCTTCCCACACAAGCGGCACAACTGTCGCTTCACATTTTCCACCATTTCACGTCTTCCAAGATCATACAAATTTTTCTTCCGAGTGGGTTCTACAACAACAAATATTGTTGTTCATCTAAATGAATGAAATAATGTTCATTACACTTTTACATGTTAAAACCCTGAATTCATACACAACAAAAATATTTAAAAATAAAAATAAATATACATAAATTAGTGTAAAAAAGTAGTAAATACGTATAAAATAATATTTGCATTCTTATAATACATTTTGAATTCATTGCTTAGAATTAGAAGTAACTAATCACTACATATCATTTATAAAAATCAAATCGATAATACAAATTAAAAGCTGTCCAACAATTTTAAAGATAACTACCATAACTTTGAAAGAATAATAATCTGGGACTTGTATCATAAGTTCATCTCAAAATTTACTCTGACAATTTTGTTATTGGATCACATAATCAATAATAGATTTTAGGTTCCTTTTCAACTGTATCCAGATGAACTAATGAATTCCCATGTGAAGGTGTTCATTTAATATGTTGGTTAAAGTTGAGTACACGGTACACCCTTAGAGAAGCGTGGCGAGGGAATTGGAAAAGGTGATGGAGCAGGGAATGAGTAGGAGGGGGAAGGGGGAGGAGGGGTCTCTTCTAGCCCTCCCTCAAATTACACTAAGCGCTCTGACAGAAATTTATGAAACTTACTAATAGGTTATTTTTATGGCAGTTTGACTGATGGTTTCATCACCCAAAAATAGATCATTACTACTACCTGAATTGTACTCTGCTTGCTTCCCACAAACCATGGCCCCTTCCACACCAAACACTTATGCACACGAGGAATGGCCCCTCTCTTGCTACACTTCCACTCGAAACCATCACACCACCACACAACTTCTTTCGCTTGGCCAACCTTATAGGTCACTTACACACAACACAAATCCTGCAGCTATCAAACTACGTTCTTGCACCCATTCAATGACAGCTGAACACCTCCTTTGGCGCAACGTGCAAAAAAGAACCATCGTAGCACTGAACACTCAAAAACACAAATCACAAAGAATCTGAAGAACGCAAGAAACTTAACTCTTCGACAGCAATGTAGCCAACCACTTCGACAGCTACCCCGACAGAAAATCATGTAGACAAAAACACGATTTACGTCCCACCACACACCATTTCGTAATGAAGTTTCGACAAGATATAAGGGTGAAATTTTCCCCACCCCTAACTTTTGACGTCACATTTGTGACCAATTATGAACCATTAAAATTATTTGAGAAGAGTTTTTTTCGTCTCACTGGCGAAACCGCCCACACTGCTTTTAACGTATAAATACTAAGTTATGCATATTGCTCACCTCTCCTCCCCACCGAACGATTCCCCTCATAATCCCCTAAATACCACTCATCCCTCCACCATACATTTCACAAAGTGCAGAAACGGCTTCCTTAGGTTGTACCATATACTACACTTCAGCCAATATTTAAAGATCATGAGATTTATAAAGATCTTTCTTTTTTTTTTCATTTATTTATTTATGTCAAAAACAGTTAAAAACTGTCTGTGACATGACCATTCTAGTCACTGACCATTCTAATAACATGCCTCCTCCCTAAATCTTATTATTTTGTTCTCCCTGTCCTAACATTTCAGTTCCCCATCAAAAAGCGCCCTTTATATGGCTTAAAATATCTATCAATATTCCACAAAACATCTCTTTTTACGACAATCGGCATCACATCTTGGTTTCTATACTCCTATTATTACAATATCATGTCCATTTTTCCTCAGTTCTAATATTCAATAATACAAAAAATTATCAGTGGAAATCAATTTCAGGCAAATGAGTTTTTCCCAATAATTATTTAGACAGAAGATTTCACAGAAGAGACATACTTGTTCAAAAAAAAAAAAATTAAGAGTCATTAACTGACTTTCTGGGTTTTGTTCATAGTGCATTTTCCCTAAATCCCCACCATATTTTAATGCTTACAACACATTGCAAGAAACAGAAGTTAGAAAATAGTGCGAAGATCACAATTTTGTTGCCTTTCCTATTTAATTTTGGATTTAAAACTGAAAATTAATAAACTGGAAACCATAAATTAAAAGGTTTGTTTCCCATTAAAAATAGACGAAACTGACTTGTAGCAATAATCTTGTTTGGGTCACCGTCTACCACCAGCTCTGATGGAGGACCTGTAAAACAACCGATCAAGTAATTATTCTTGTGCAGGAAATAAAATACAGAAACAAAAATCAAGATACACCGCGAACTTACAGAGATGAGGAACAGCATCTAACCGCAGCCTTCGATTTCCACCAGGAAAGTAATCTTCAGCAGAAAAGTGCATGCTACAAACAAATTTATTTTTCAAATCTACGGTCTGAAGAGGCATTCCACAAAAGGAGAGCCACGATAGAAGAAAATTTCGTTGCCAATCTCTTTGGGGGAAGACGTGCATCTTCAAATTCAAAACTCTAATTTCCTTGTCAGTGTAAGCCACACGACAAGCTTGACAGACCCGCATTCTGAAAAGAACTTTCAACGTTTACAACTCTTTCGTGTACTATTAAGAACAAAGCAACAATTATTTACTTTCTGAAATCAATACTTCTTTTCCCGCAGCAAACGTCGGAATTTATGAAATTATCTTATTCATCTAATTAAAACATGTAAACACAGTGCTGCGCTGTTCACTGAACGATTCTCCTACACCGCACGAATCCACCTTCATTCCTTGAGAAAGTAATGCAAATGACAGCAATCAGGAATTATCCTTTGTTAACGTGACACATTTTTTCAATATAATGCACGCTAAAATACATAGGCAATACATTACATCTACTTGCAATAGCTAATAGTTACACGCAGATCTAAGTGATTCATAGCCATTCATAGTGGCTCATAGTGGCTGCATAGTGGTGATTTCGTGCTCTCTTCAAAAGCTTGAAGCGTAAACAAAACACATGCGTCTTGGAGCATGCCAATCGAATTTGAAGATTGTCATTTGAAGGTACACAATTTTATGGAGTGTCGATTAATATAGTTTTCTAGATTTATGGTCGCTTAAATGTACTCCTTTAAGGTTCTCTTTTTTATTCGTTTGTATTTCTATCCCTTATGGGAAAAGGTTATTTTGTAAACACGTGAATTTGTTATAAGTTGGTACTCGTATTCAGAAATGCAGATTAGGCAGTGTCGCTGAGGTGTGCTTGCTGGACGCGTTTTGAGCAGGGCCCGGCAACTCTCTATCAAAATTGGGGACAAAGCTCGAGGTTGCTACTATAGGAAGCGCTAGTGTCGCCGGGTGCAGCTGCAGGTTAGGCTCGCCAACATTCCCACATATAAATTGGCTAATTTGTGAGAAATACGAAAAGTGTCTTCTAAATGTACAATTATTCATAATGTCTACTTGTAAGAAACCTCTGAAGAAAGCGCGAACGTAGACGTTATCTTTTGTAACATTATGATCCTGCTTGCGACCCGCGAACTCACGCAGCAGTCACGCACGTTAAAAGTATCGTTGGCAGCAGTTCCTGTTTTAGTTCCTGTAAAGAAGGTGATGCAGCAGAGCGCGCCACCATAATGGTTTCCACCACGTTATATGGGAGTTATAGGGCCCTGGTTTTGAGTTTGGTTCTGATTAGCGTGCATTGCGTTGGAATGTTTACATCACAATGCTGCAGTTAGAAGATTAGATGTACTCTGTATAATACTAATACATTGTCACATGTGTTTATATTCAGTTCCTTGTGTAATTTGGGATACATTTAATTTCATAAAGTGTGTGTAAATACAAAGCAATACAAGTGACATGGCTCCAATGCGACGTCGGTTGTCAAAGCGGGTCGTCAAATCCACATTTCAAGAGTGTTTCGAATACGATTTACCCGGTCATCGCATTCCAGAACCTAAGCGGGCGAGTTTGCCGGAAGGTCGTACCCGTACTAGTATTTCAGAAAAAATTAAACAAGAATCAAATGACGAAAAAGTTGTTTCTGATAAAAATTTAAATAAAGTTCCCAAAACAAAGTCAGTTACTACTAAGGAGAGTTCAAAAGATGAGACCACGAAGAAAAGAACAAGTGAAAACATCAAAGTGAAAGGCAAAGAATCTGTGAAGATTAAAGGCAATGAGATCTCTAAGACACAAGGTATCAGTAAGAAACTTGTTACCAGAACTTCAGCAAAATTACTGAAAATTAAATCATCTGTAGGTAGCCGTATAAAAGCAAAAAATGCGTTTCTTGGCTCTGATTACAAACGGTTCAAATCTCCTCAAATCAAAACCAAGAACAAGACACCTTCACAAGCCCAGGAAACAGAAGGAAATGTGAGAGATGGTGGAAGTAAAGGAGAGACGAAGACTGCTTCTGAAGCCACTAGAAATTCCCCGTCAACTACTGGGAAAGTTCTAGTGTCAACCAATTGGCAACCGGTAGTCCATTTGGAGAAAATAAGTGTTAATGACCCGAAAGCTCTCAGATCTGGTAGTAAAGGCAAAGAAATTTCTTCTAGACATCAGCAACCAAGAAATTCTACCAGAAGCCCAGATTTAGCCACCAGATTACGAAATGCTTTGAAGGATCCATTGGCTGAGCAAGAGGACAAAGAATCAGCAATATCAGACAATGGAATTTCAAACAGTATGGTGGTGGAGGAAGTTTTTGCAAGTTCTCATCCACATGCTGGGCCATCAATGCTTCTTGATTTTGAAGACTCTGTTTATGGAGAAAAAAAGAACTTGAGAAACAGTCCATTAGAACGAGTGTTTCGAGATGATGTGTTACCCAAACAGCCTGGAAGTGATTCTGCTCTTGAAGATTGGCCTGAAAGCTCATCGGAGAATTCAGATGGTGAAGAAACTAAAGAAGAAAACTTTGTTCTCGATGATTCAGCTATAACTGATTGGTCAGGTCCTCATGTGAATGTCATATTGCATTGGCAAAAAAAGTTCAATAGTGTTACTAATGAGTTGAGAAATTCATTTGATAGTTTGAGGAGTATAATTGAGGAAAAAAATTCATTGATTGCAGCTCTAAAAAATAAATTGGACAGTTTTAATGATAGTACCTGTCACAAAATTTTAGATCGAATTTTGCTGGACTATGATAAGCACGATCCCAAAAAGCCTGCTACAATGATTATTAATTCAATATTAGAATATTAGAATTCTCATTTAAAAATTTGATTCTTCTAATGATCTATGAAAATGTATAATTTATTTGATCATGTTATCCATATATGTATTTTATTGAAATATTTCTGGAAGATTTCTTAATTTGTGTGGTCTACTGCATTTTACTTTTGTGCAGTTTTGAATGAATTTTAGTTTGTTTTCTTTTGATAATACAATTTTTGGTGTCTTTAAATCGTAAGCCAAACGAATTTTTAACATTCAGAAAAGATTTTCCAATTCTGAGGGTATTCTTTTGTGCGTTTTGAATCAAAAACGAAAGATTCTTTGAATTTTCTTTGCACGTTTTGTTTTACAATTTATTAAGTACACCTTGATTATTTTGGAAATCATTTTAATTTTCAAAAAGCCAAATTAAAATAATTAACAAAACTATTCTAGTAAAAAAAAAATTGTTTTAATTGTATTAACATAGAAATCTGAAATAGATCAAATTCCTCTTTGTTTGTGTAAATGAACTTGCCTTACGAAGCAAGTACTGTTTCCTTGTTAAATGTTAAACTCTGTCATCCCTTGTATGGATGGTTTGGTGTTATACTGATACTTTCTTTCAGTGTTATTGAATTCCAAATTGCTCCCATTATTATCACGTTGTACCTTCCCTTGAGAAGTATTTTTTCAGGCTCTCCATTTTCATATGATTTTTGTTTCCTTTCCTCGTTTTTACTCTAGTTGAGGTATTGGGGAAGAATTGATTTAAAAGAAAAAAATCAGGTGGAGACACATTTGCAAGACAAGTGCTCGCAGCTCAGTGGATGGAGTTACAACACATAATGGGTGTTTCAAAATTCAATGAACGTCCTCTGGATGTATCAACAATTTAACTTTTGAAAGTTTTGAAACTATTTATCAGGTTTGGTTATTTACTTTTTTTGCGTGATCATAGGAAAATTGTGTAAATTTATCAGCCATCCTTGTAAAAGTGGTCATAATTCAATTCTGCACATTGTTTTCAGATACTTTTTGGTGTAGTAGCTTTTGAGAATTACAAACGTTTGTATCTCCTTATCATCTGTATGGTATAGAAAAATAATTTAATTGTATTTGACATTAACATATATTTTTACAAAATAGAATTTTCCTATTACAATAGCCTGAGGCATTTGGGATAGTGTAGATTTGTATCTCCTGTAGATAATTGTATTGGAAACTGCAATTGGTGTTGCTTAAAGGAAAATAATATGTGAAAATCACAATATTTTTGTTTTGAAATGTGTTTAGTTTGAATGGAATTGTTTACATTCTCAAATGGTACTTGTCAGATTCATGTTATCGCTGTGAAAACGTTTTGGGAGAGGAAGATTTCTCATAACTTGCTGGTATTGCTGAATTTGGCTTTTTTTCTTTTAATCTTCGATGATACTTTTTTTTAATACTGTATTACATTTTACAATCTTATCCATTTAATTAAAAGAACATTGATAATTGGCAATACTGTGACTAATGAGACATATTACTATACGAATGTTTTGAAACAATGAGAGTTCAAGGTTGTAAAGAGTAGTAATTAACAACTTTTAAAGTTCTACTTTGTACTGCATTGTTGAAAGTGGACATTTTTTCTTCAAATAGCAATTATAAAATAAATTTTCCTTCCAACAAATGTTTTCTTTGAAAAACTAGTGGTATATAATCTTAAATCCTATTGATTATTGCAGTATTTTACAGAATTTATTGTGCGGTACAAACTATTCAGTTTTCCTATTGTCATCATCACTTATCTTGCCCTCCTTTCTAGTGGATAATGAAGTGTACCTGCAGGTGTTGAAGTGTACCTTATGTGTTGAAGTGTACCTGCAGGTGCCATCTTTTTATTGGTCTCCCTCTGTAACTCTTTCCTTTGCTCCCGTTATCCACATTTCTGCACCATACTTTAACATTGATATTAATGTAATATGAATTCCCATAACAGTTTGATTTATTCATAGTGTCCATTGACAGGTCATCAGCTGTTATGTCATCCAGTCAAGAACTTAAACATCACTGTAGTGATGTTCAAGCTCCCGACAGATGACACTATAACAGCTGATTTATGTCAAAGGACTCTGTTTAAATGAAAGTATATTTTCTTGTATGTCCAAAATGTCTTTATTATTTCGTTGTTTGTATTACAGGATGGCTACTTTCTAGAAAACCGGAGAAAATTAGGATCTTTCATTTCTCTGGAAGAATTAGGGAACTGGTCAAAAAATTATTGGAAGTCAGAGAAAATTTTCTCAGGCTTATAAATCCAAATATTATTTGTTAAAAATAGTACATTACTTTTTGCTCATTTTTTATTTTTGTGAAAATATTGTTCTTTTGTTCTTTCCATGGAGAAATCAGAGATGACCAATTAGTATCAGACAGATATTTTATGTAAAAAATGTAAAAGTAAAAATTTTCAGGAAAAGATTATAAAGATAACTGTGAAACCGGGAATATTCTGGGAAATTAGTGCTAGGCAATAAGTAGTCACCCTGAACTATATTCTTGTATATTTTCTTTGATATCCTGATCTAATTCAGTTGTATTTCCCAGGTATTTGGAAAAGGTAACTTAGATATTGGATTTGTTGTGTTTTGTGAATTTTCTAAGCATTTTTCTGTCATCCAAATTTGAAATATAAAGCTGTTAAGTGCTTTAATGATAACTATGTCAAGTTTAAAACGTTGACTAAGTAAATTAAGTCTTGTTTCAGTGAACAATACACTACACAAGCTTAATAATCTTGTTTAAACATGTTGACATGTGAGTGGATGTGTTCGTGTGAAGATAATTTGTTTCTGCAGTTTTGAATTTGTAAATATCCAACTACCAGATAATTTATATCTCCCATTCATATTGATGTGTTTGTGTTCAGTTATTTGGACTGACTGGTGTTATGGAGTCTGCAACAGAAATGCTGATATTAAGGACTGTAAAATGGAATTGGTGGGTACTAAATACAGAAGACTTAATTCAAGAATTTGTATTCCACAAGTTTTTGCATGAATGGAGAATTACATCTTTTTGTCAGTGAAGAAGATAAATGTATGTCAAAAAGTATATTAGTAGCATTTAGTTGGAATCTAGTCTCTGTTACTTGGGAACAAAGTGTAATAATTTTTTGTAGACATTAGTAGCATAAGATATAGTGTGGAGTCACAATGCATAAATGAAATTTTAATTCTATTGTGCCTAAGAGTTAGAATTTATGCTTAGAAACAAAAATTTGATTATTTTTCTTTATACTCCATGGCATGATACTATTATGAATTCAATTTAACAGTCAAAGATTTTTTTATATCTTATGAACAATGATAGATAAGTTCTGTATTAAATGGTACTATGATGGAAGCAAAACAATGGTGTGAAGTATTCTGAACTGAAATTGAAAGAAAAATTCAATTTCATTGTTCAAAGGAACTTTGTCATCAAACATTATTTGTTATTGGTCTCCGATTAATCTTTTAAAAACGTTGTACACATTTCTTATATTTAATTGTGCTAATGCTATTGTTATTTGAAATTTCTTATAACATTGTTTATCTAGTACTTAAAGAACGTTTCTTGAAGTTTTATGTATAAGTTTTGTAACAGGTTAACTTTTTATATATAATTGTCAAAACTAAACCTGCAAAAACCACTATTCTTTTGAGTAATGTAGATTCAAAGATGTGTGATCACTTGATGTTAATATTATTGAGAACTGAATCTCTTAAGACATTTAGCGAAGAAGAAAAAAAAATGGTACACATTACTCAAAAAGCTTTATCAGCTTTCATTCAATACAATTATGTCTTCTCTGTGGGGAAAAAAAAATATTGTGACAGTGTTGGCAAATGCGCAAATTTGTATGTCTGGCATGCATCATTTGTGTTCGTGTATCGGAAAGGATACCAAAATAAATATCAAGAAATGAGTGTGTACAATTTATCACAATAAGTGGGTGTTTCTTTAGAAGGCAAAAACAACTGTTTCTTGCAAAAGGAAAGCAAATTGCTCACCTGTGATGCAAATGTCATTAATATCCCACAGGTAAAAATGGGATCGTTTCAGTCATTGAAACAATTACATTGAGTGATCAGCTTCCTGTAGTTTTTTTTTAACACTTCAATGGATGCTAAACATATATACTTTTATTTTGTTTTTGACTTTTTCAAACATAGCATTGTTCAATGTGAATTTTAGTATTCTTGTTTGACTGACCAAGTTTTCTGGTATCATTCTTTTAAACAAAGCTTTCGTATTTGCTGAAAAATTGTAGTTATCTCGATTGCCATATGATGTGAAAGGAAATTTACAATACTTTCAGATGATATCATATACCACTCTGAGCTTTAGTTCATAATAACCAAACTGGATATTGAAACAATTGAATGGTTCAAATGGTTTAGATCTTAAGATCTAATTGATTTTTGGCAAGAATTTTCTCCACAACTTTCATTAATTATATGTTTGTGTTATGTGTACTTCATTACCCCACAATTTGATTAGTTTTGTTATTTCAACCTGACATTCTTGACCACTTATCTTTGATGCAGAAAATTCGTTAGAGTAGTTTTTTTGTTTTTTTTGTTTCCCAGAAATTGGCTGAATCACAGAATAAATAATTTGTGCAGACCTGTATTTGTGTGTTGATTTATTTAGATTGTGTATGTCTTTATTTGTTTTACATTTGTAAATAATAAAGCATATATTTCTCAATACCTATATTAAAAAAGTTTTTCTTCCCTTTCAACATGTCAGGGTTTAGAACAAATTTCTTATGTGATGGAAAAAATGTTTACATTGCTGCCTAGAAAAAGCTGGTTTAAAATAACTGTAAAAATATTATAAACCCAAGAGATAGGCAAAAATACACATAAAATACGCAATAGTTCACATTTTTCACATAAGTTAATAACTGGTTTCCCTAGTGGGGAGTGACATTTTTTTTCTTAGATACTATTCTGGAAAACGCAATCATATTCTGAATAATGAAACCTTGTTATATTTTATAACGTAGATCTTAATAAGATTTGAAGCAAATCAATTGATTCAAGTGTCTCAGCCAACTTTAATATCAGACATTGGTATGAACCTATTGCATTCACATGAAATTTCTCTTAAATATTGAATTGTGGATATCTTACCAAATTGGGCACTAAAATTGAATCTTCCTAGCTATTGCTTCATACAGAATTCAGCAATTTGTCATTCAGGACAGCAATGTGGTAATGTTGCCAAAAGCCTACCCACTACTTAACTTTTTGAAAGAAAAAAATGTTTGATTTTAGGTTTCACCTACAAATTGACAATCTTGCCATAAATATCATTGTTAATTGATTAGCATCAAAAAATGATTGTACACTGGAGGGGAGAAATGTAAACTGGGCATGTTTTCTTGGGCTCTGGAATCCCTAACCTAGCCCTTGTACAACATTTCAAGTTAATATTTATATAGGTAGGAACAAGAACTTTTGAAGAGAATTCACGAGAAAATACTTGCTCCCTTGGGTTTATAATAATATTTATTGAGTGACTTACAATTTCAATCATGTAGGACAAGTCAAAATATGTCGAAAACTATTCGCTAATGAGAATGAGCTACAAATTTTGGTTCTTATTCCTTATCATGTCCTTTATGAAGAAATTGAATTTCTGCTGTGAGAATATAGAGAATGAATATTTGAATAACTATATTTCCCACCAAGCTCACGAAAATGTGCTTAGATAGGAAAGTTGTGTACATTTCTTGTGGAGAAGGGGGGATCTCAGCATTTTCAATGTTAGATCAGGGGAAACTGAACAAAAACCTGCTGGAGATGGGGGTTACTGATCTAGAAACTGAGACACAATACTTGTTGCAGCCATATTTAGGCTTTTAGAATTAAACATCACAAATAATGACTAATGCATTAAATATCACGAATAAAATAAATATTATTTCACTTTTTTGATGCTTGGTATAGTCTCCAGTTATGCAGCAGAAAATATTTTTGGCACTCTAACTTTTGAATTGATTTTGATTGTTTCATGTCATCTGGGAATATGTAAAATAATTTACTTACATATGTGAATGTTTGGTAGTGAGCTGTTGATACTGACATTGACAAATATTATTCCTATGTCATGTGTTACAATTGTACACATCAGTAATGGATGAAAATATCTTCCAACCTGTGAGTAAGTCAATTTTGGCAAGAAAAACTGTTTGGTACATCAAGAGACAAGGTAAAGGTAAAATTCCAAGATTGATAAAGAGAGGCTTACAAGAATCACACGGGTGGGATTTGCTTATTCATGTAAATAAAGATTAGGATTTACACCTAAAAAAATTTTAATTCCTTCAGTCTTGCAAATAGGTCACCTACATAATACATTGCCTAGTTAAAAAGCATTTCGTTCCTCTCTGCTTCTCCTGCAAGTAACTTTTTATATTTCTTAAAATTTTGTCAAATAAATTAATTCAACAGCTGAAAAAATGCAATTGTATAAATAACTCATCATTCTTTTGACTGATGTCTTACAACTTTGCTCCTTATATTAAAAAAAATGTAAAACACACAAACAAAAAAGAAAGAAAACAAAACGAAAAAAAAAAAAACAACTTTTAGATCACCAGCAATTTCTTGTTGAGAAAAAGTAGTACATTAAATGTAAATGAACAATAAAATATCACAAAAACATAATTTTGACATTATCAGTGAGTAGTGGATGTTTTACTAAAAAACTCCAAATTTGAGAAGTTCAGTATTCTGAAAACCACTAGAAAAAATAGTTTCATTATCAAGAGGCCACAATAGTTAAAACAGGTGACAATGGTGGCATTGAGCACATTTCAGAAAATACTTTACAAATAGAACAGAATTCAATTCAATGAGAAAAAAAACCTATTCAGATACATCTAAATTAATTAAAACAATCTTTTTTTTCCTCTCACCACTAATCTCCATGACATCTCTCTTCACTAATTAATAGATCTTTTCAAGCTATAAAAAATACTAAAGCCACAAAATATAGGGTCATGCAAAATCAAACAGGTAAAATATATACATACATAAATTGCATTATTTTTGTTTTATTTTACTTAAAACTGTTTTATAAAAAAAATAAGCATACTAACTGGAAAAAATTGTAACATAGAGTTTTTTCTAAAGGCAAAACATGAAATAGAATTAAACAAAACATGGAATTTCTGAAATAAATCATATACCCATGATTCATTGTAAAGCAATTCCCAGAACCCTTCATAAGAGCACTTTTTTTATATTTTAGCATACTTGCTTCAGCATTGAAAATGTTTAATTTAATACTTTTGTGGTCGGTGGAGACGAGGAACATGAAATAGCAATTAGTTAATAAACCTTTCTTGCACATTGAAATGACATTTTTCAAAACGATGCATGCCAAATAAGCATTGTAATTTTGAGGCACTCATGAAAACTATTATCTCTTTAACATTTCATCCAATGAAGTCCCAGTTATAATACCAAGAGTAAAAATACACTGTCAAATGATACCACCATAATATATAATATTTAAAATGTAATGTAAGTTTCCTTTCATGAATTTGATTGTGAAACAAGGTAGTCCTTGAACAGCCAAAGATAAAGCTGAATAAGTCAATCTGAGCAAAAAAGGGTTAAATAACAATCCTTTTCTTATATCCATCCAATATTTAAAATGATCACACAAACAAAACTGTCAAGAATGCTCTGAAAGACACACTTTAAACTTTCAATTGCTCAAAGATTATTTACTCCCTTAGTATATTTTTAGTAAATTATGCATTTTTTAGTTAAAAAACTCATTATTACACGTTTGCTTACTTAATAGCAGAATAATATTTTGCATCATTTGTTTCACAACTAAGAACAGTAAACTTTCTAATAACAAACTATTAATGAAACATCTAAATAATAAATGAAAGCATATGGTCCAGCCTTTACTCTCATAAATTGTCTGTCTTTTTCTCTCTCTGTAATAAACTTCAGCCTTTAAATTAGCGAACATGTTTTCAGCCACTCCAAAGGTGTGATAAATTATTACCTCTATAGAATCTTACTTATTTGCAAGCGACATATTATGAGGACAGTAAATTTTTATTCCTTTCTCGGCAGTTCACAGGTTTTTTTTCGGAATGGTATGAGCTGATCACATGACAAAAATTGGGGCCGATGCTGTGGACTCCCTAGCAACTTCTTGGAAATCTTAAATAAATGTCTTTATTGGAGGCAAGGCACTCAACCACATTCATTTTTAACCACAACCTTTCTTAAGCTTCTCAATCTTGCTAAACTCTAAGTGTGCTACTGCCTAGACACTAAATGGTGCAACTCAATACTTAGTGCTTGGCATGCGCGACTGCTTGCAGCCTGAAGTTGTCCTCACAAGCTAAACCACAAGTGTACTAGACACTCCTTAGACACTTTGATACAATGGTTGCGTTCTCAGTTGGCTTTCACCTTATCTCACCACCTGAAGTTGCTCTACAACAAATGTACTAAGGAGACTATTAGCAGCATCTTGTTTAAAGATTTGGTCTATTGGCTCGCAATCTGAAGTGGCTAATCAATGCTAACTGCTAGAGTGAGAGGTACTCCCTTGGGTTGTAACCTAGGAGAGTGCTGATAAGGATGTATGCAGCAGCACCTAGCACAAGCCTTCAGTCTATTAGGCTCACTCGTGGAAGTCACTCACGAAAGTTAAGTGCAAGAGTGCTACAATCTCCATTAGCACTGTCTGGCCAGGAGCTCTGATCTCTGTCTTCAAATCACCGATGAAAGCCAACAGAAAGATTGCTACCGATCATAATAGCCACCACCAGGTCTTCAGCTCTGATCTGATGCCACTCAGCCTTTGAAAGCTAAACCACATGTGTACCACAGTCTCTACAGGCAGTGTCTGGTCTAGTACTTCAGTCTCAGCTAGTTAAAGTTACTTTTGAAAGTGAACTTTATGAGTGCTACAGAGTCTACAGCCACCATTGATCCTAAAGTTTTGGTCTGGAGGCTGTCAGCCAGGAGTTGCTATGAAAAGCTAACCTGCAACAGCGCCTCAGTGTCTACAGACTGTCTGCTCCAAAACGGGACTGTGATAGCTCAATGCCTTGAAGCTAACCATATATGTGCTACAGTCTCTGTTTTAATGTCTGCTCCAAAACTCGAGTGTGACAGCTCAAAGCCACGAAGCTAACTGTACATTTGCTACAGCCTCTGTTTTAATGTCTGCTCCAAAACTTGAGTGCGATAGCTCCAAGCCTTGAAACTAACTGTACATGTGCTACAGTTTCTGTATTAACGTCTGCTCCAAAACTTGAGTGTGTGATAGCTCGAAGCTAAGTGAACATGAGCTACAGTCTCTGTTTTAATATCTGCTCCAAAACTCAAGTGTGACAGCTCAAAGCCTCGAAGCTACTTATGCAACAGTCTCTGTTTTAATGTCTGCTCCAAAAGTTGAGTGTGTGATAGCTCCAAGTTAACCATACATGTGCTACAGTCTCTGTATTAACGTCTGCTCCAAAAGTTGATTGTGTAATAGCTCGAAGCTAACTGAACACGAGCTCAACGCGTGCTGCAAAACGTGACTGCGTCAGCTCAGAGCGGCGCGCAACGGAGCTGTGCCTCAGCCGGGGCGGGCCGCCGGCGCGGCGGCGCGCCCTCAGCCCTCCGTGTGCTTCCTACGGTGCGCGCGCAGCCCGGAGTCGTCCCTGAAGGCCGCCCCGCAGCGCTCGCACGCGTAGGGCTTCTCGCCGGTGTGGCGCCGGCGGTGGACCTTGAGCTTGGTGCTGGTGATGAAGGCGTCGCCGCACACGTCGCAGCAGTAGGGGCACTCGCCCGTGTGCGTGCGCCGGTGCACCAGCAGGTGCGAGCTGGTGGTGAAGGCGGACGGGCAGAGGTCGCAGCGGAACGGCCGCTCGCCCGTGTGGCTGCGCCGGTGCACGTTCAGCTCGGAGCGGCTCTTGAAGGCGGACGCGCACAGGTCGCAGGGGAAGGGTCGCTCGCCCGTGTGCGTGCGCACGTGCACCAGCAGGCTGTTGTGCTGCGTGAAGGCGGCCGGGCAGCGGTCGCACGCGAAGGCGCCGGCGCCGCCGTGGCGGGCGCGGTGCGCGCGCAGGGCGTAGGCGCGCGCGAACCGCTCGCCGCACTGCTCGCACGCCAGCGGCCGCTCGCCCGTGTGCTCGCGCGCGTGCTCCGTCAGCAGGCGCTTCGTGGCGAAGGCGGCCGGGCAGGCGGCGCAGCGGTGCGGCCGCTCGCCCGTGTGCGTGCGCCGGTGCACCGACAGGTACGAGCTCGTGCTGAAGGCCGCGCCGCACAGCTCGCACGCGAACGGCCGCTCGCCCGTGTGCGTGCGCGTGTGGATCTTGAGAGCCGACGACGACGGGAAGGCGCCGTCGCACGTCGTGCAGCGGTACGTGGCGCGGGGCGCCGACGCCGACGACGACGACGGCTTACGGTGAGCCTTGCGCTCGTGCACCTGCCACACACAATTGTAATAATAATAATAATGATGATGATGATGATGATGATAATAATAATAATAATAGTAATAATAATAATAATAATAATAATAAATAATAATAATCAATAATAATCAAAATAATAATAATAATAAATTTGCCGTACAAGAGGAACAACATGGCGAGTTGTCAAAAGTTGAAACTATCTGCAATTGTACTAATCAGCAACTGACGTGAATATCCAAAAACTCTCTGCAGATCGCTGAAGAACATCTCCTTGGACGAAGAGTATTATCATCGGCACTCTGCATGAAGTCTGTTATATCCGGAGGCACCTGCTCACATATCAGGAGATTCATGCGCAGACATGTTGGGCTGAAGCTCATTCTTGAATTGTATTTGTATAGCATTTGAAACGTATTATTTTCTTGTTACAAATCTGAAAAACAGTATATTTTATGTTCTATGTGTTAAATGCCTTAATTTGTTTTGTAGATTTTAATATGTCTGTTGACATGCTCTGATATTGTATCTGTGTGGTATCCATGTGAACCAAAACTTAGAGAACTAAAAAAAATAAACATATATAATATTTATTAAGTCAACAATTACAATTTTACAAATCGAGTATGACCGATAGTCGAATAATATGCTCTTGTGGAGAGAAGCGAAGTACCAATACTGTTCAGAGAGCGAACAAAGAGCCATCTCAATTCATTTGTTCAAGGACTCGGGGAAGATGAACAAGAAATCAGATGGATCATTGGCCTCAGAAAATATTAACTACAATGACGTTACATTAGAAACGAACGGTATTAACACACGAGTTGATATTACGGAAAGAGTGTATTAATACCCCATTACACCGCAGGTTTCATACGGTTTCATACGATTTACGGTAACTTATATAAGATAACTTTAGCATTGATCGTTTCGTGGCAGTTGACATAAGATTACAGCAAGGCACCTAGAACAGCTCACCTCCCAAATTTCAACCGCAGGTGGCTTCGGTATAATGCGCTAACAAATAGGATCAAGCTGACAATTACGAACCCCAATTTAAATAGAATATATCCACGTACAAATGACTAATAATTATACAAATTAAACTAGAAGCATAATATAATTAAACTCAATTTTAATGATAAACAATCGAATGAAGCAATTTACCTAGAACAATTGTCATATGATCATTTAATACACTGCATTGTAAACTTGTCTTGTTACCTGTTAAAACCTGTATCCACATGGATCTGTCCCGAAATAAGAATATTTACACAACGGATGCAGCCATCAAACGACAGGAATATATACTTTGAGTAGAAAAAACAAAACGTTTGAATCCCCACCTCCAAAGCACAAACTCTCGCCGCGGATTTGCTGGCCGGGTCAACTGCTGCCCCGGTCTTTAGCCCACCTCCTCTTCCCTGCCCTCCCCCCCACGTTAACTCTGCCCCCCCCCACCACTGCCCTGACCTGTTAGTTGAATACTGTACGCCGGGGGTGGCGGCGATTCCCGCCAGCTTAATGTTAGTCCGGCGCCACCCACACGCCGTTCCTCGAATTTCCCTTCCTTTAGGTAAAGTACCGACTTCAACGCGTAACATTCACTCAAACTCCCGGACTCATCTATTGACATATCTCGTTACTGTAGAGCATAAAGAAATATGTGTGGTGTGGTGTGGTGTGTTGTGGGCTGTGTGTGTGTGTGTAAGGGAAGAAAAGGACAACGACAAGAAGGGCGAAAAAAAATCCTCGTACTCGTTTTCTTTCGAGGAAGTAAAGCCACTGTCCCATGTTAGCAGACTTTATTTCGTGTAAAAAAAAAAAAAAAAAAGAAGCGCTTAATAAGCCTCTGAGCTAATCAAACCGCCTTTTCGTCGCCCACAAATTAGCCGTAGCGATTTGCGTGTCAGACGAAGAGCCGGGCTCGTGGCGTGAGTCTCGCCACAGTCAAATAAAGCATCATATTCCAAAATTCAGTGTCCGCTACCTGCAGCGCCACAAGGAGCGGAAGGAGGGCACCGCATCGGCGCAGGTGTGAGACACTGGCGCCGCCGCGGGCCGCGCGCCCCACCCGCACCACGCGGGCCCCCGGCCACGCCCGGCACGGGCACTTGCCTTGCCCGCCCCCCGCCGCCCCCGGCCGCCGGCGCCGCTGCCGCCAGCCGCCAGCCACGGCGCACTGCGGAACACACACAACAAAACACATTTAGACCGGTATTCCAACGTGAAGGCATTGACGTACTTTTATTTTTATTCATTCATTCATTCAATTCATTTACTCATTTATTCATTTTACTCATGACTCATTTATTCATGTACTCATTACTATTCATTTATTCATTTTTCATTTATCATTTATCTCATTTATTTCATTTATTCATTTTTCATTTATTCATTATTCATTTATTCATTTATTCATTTATTCATTTATCATTTATCATTTATTCATTTATTCATTATTCATTTATTCTTTATTCCATTTATTCATTTATTCATATTATTCATTTATTCAATTTATTCATTTATTCATTATTCATTTATTACATTTATTCATTTATTCATTTATTCATTTATTCATTTAATTCATTTATTCATTCTATTCATTTATTCATTTATCATTTAGTTCATTATCATTTATTCATCTTACTTCATTTATTACTTCATATCATTTATTCATTTAATGCACTTTATTCATTTATTCATTTATTCTTTATCATTTATTCACTTTTATTCATTTTTATTTCATTACTTCATTTATTCATTTATTCATTATTCATTTATTCATTTATTCATTTTATTCATCTTATTTCATATTATTCATTATTTCATTTATTCCATTTATTTTCATTATTCATTATATTCATTTATCATTTATTCATTATTCATTTATGTCATTTATTCATTTATTCATTATTCATTCATTCATTTATTCATTATTCATTTATTCATTCATTCATTATTCATTTTTCCATTTATTCATTTATTCATTTATTATTTATTCATTTATTCATTTATTCAATTTATTCATTTATTTCATTATTCATTTATTCATTTATTCATTTATTCATTTATTCATTTATTCATTTATTCATTTATTCATTTATTCATTTATTCATTTATTTTTTACTTTAGGTCGCAACAACTTCTAGGTCATTAGCGACCACTATTAGATCAAACGGTATGGTAACTGTCAGGATGACAATATAATGAGGATGATGATAGGGGGGTGGGTGAAAGGATGAACACAATGCAACCATGACCGAGGCGCGACTCGAACCCGCGATCCTTCGGTCCCATACTGCCCTTCTACTTTACTTCTACTGCCCTACTGCCTTAGCGATCTCGGCCACCGGATCAGCACACTACATCTTTGATGATGAACTTCGTGGAAGTTCTTTGAACTTTTACGAAGGAAACTTTGAAATAGAAATTTGATTAACGTATTACATTGTATATATGTAGTTATATTATGCAGTATGTATTACATAATTAGTATTACATTAGCAGTATGTATTACATTATTAACGTATTACATTTCATATATGTAGTTAGGCTCACGATTCAAGATGGATGGAGTACAAACAGTTGTGATTGTTCTACTTTATGCTCAATAATAATTTATCTCTAATTATTGAACGCCACCTAGACAACGTTGGTTTAACGTTGAAGAAGTAAAAAGTAAAAAGAAGACGTTTGATGAGGATGATACTATACAATCAGAGCAGCCGGCCGCTACAATTCTTCTCCAGACAATAGTTGTATTCATCCTTAACTCATCCCTTAATTAAATTTTTACTCATCTTTTAACTATTTATAGTTAAAATGACGGCAAGGGATTCTGAAACTCAAGAAAACTTGCGCAGATAATATTCCCCCCCCTTCGTCACATACAGTTTTTACTGTTTTTTTTTTTTTTTTAATTTTTTTTAGTTGACTGAATAAATCTGAATCTGAATCCTTCCTAAGTGGCTAGTATCGAACATTTGTCACATTCCGGGACTTGACGGTGTTGTCACTGAGCTCTGCAGGGTGCGATTGACAATCTTCTTGAAGGGGTACGTTCAAAATTCTGAATCCAAGAATGAACAATTGAAAAGAAGGCAGTTTTCACTTAAGTATTGCTCACTGAATGAATTCTACGACTGTACTTAGGAAACTTTAGTTTTCAAAGTTCCTTGATTTGAATATTTCAAAGCTGAAATATTCAAATGAAAAAAAGGAGGTATCAGTTATGGATTGTTCTCTGGCAGGGTTAAGTTATTACATTCCTGCAGAGCAGGGATCTTCAACTAGGGTTCCCTGGAATATTGACAGGGGCTCCTCAATTGATCACTATTTGCTCAGCCCAAACACGTAAAATGGAAATCATCTCACAAATAAAAGGGATTTTTCATGTACGAGCGAGGTAGTGGCCTGCGAGGTAGTGGCTATTAATATAATGTTTCGGTAAAATTTTCAATACTAATATTAATTGGATATAAAATTTTCTTTTTATTAATTTGATATTATTTAAAATATTGTTTCTCTTGTTAATTATTCATAAATATATTCTAGAAAATAAGTAAAATAAAACCTGATTTGCAACCTCACTATTTATTCTCTTATTAAGATGTTTTTATTAAGATGAAATAAAGATGCAAGAAAAATTGCCAAGAAACATTGTAAAAATAGGCTTTACGACAGGACCATATTTCATAAGAGACATTATTAAAGGTAAAACTTAAAAGAAAGATACATTTTACATCATTCAATCGCAATCCAAGTCAAGTAAAAATTATGTAATGATTCAAGACACAAAGAAAAAAAAGAAGTTAATGAAGAAACAAAATTTCATGCCTACATTCAATTATTTCCAAAAGATAAATCAAAATCTGAAAAGTTTGCATGCAACTTACCAGATATGTTTGATAAATCTGTATTTTGATTCAGAGAGTCATCTTCATCAAGGAAATCGGTTGATGAAGGTCTATCAGGCAGAACATACAATTCATCTGGATATGAGTCCTGAAAAATCACAAATATAAAACATCTCCACTCAGAAAACCCAAAACAATACCATTTTACAATAAATAATTCAAAAGTGATTCTATAAGCAAACCAATACTTGAGACATTATTATTACTAAGGAGCAGATTTGCATTTTTTTGTCTGTTGCTTCATGCATAGCTAGGTGAACTTTCTTGACATTTGGTAAAAATACAATGCTATATAGATTAATGTTAGTGGATATTTGGCTGATTTTTCCTATTGGTGCATATTCAAGTAATTATTGGTGCATAATTTGTTAAAATAGAGACCTATATATAAAATGTTTCATCTTTTAATGGAATCTATTTTTTTGTGAGCATTCATTGATTTGTAAAAGCTTGTCACAGTTTGCACTGTTTTTTTTTTCTTCTTCTTCTAGAGAGGAAACATAATTGACATAAGTTCTTGATAACATTTTTTTTTAATCAGTCGGAAGAAATACATCAAGTCATATAATGTACTTTGCTAACATGAATATTTACTTTAATTATTTCTCTCGTGAAGTAGGGTAGATTATATTATATTTGCACAAAACTATAGCTTTTCCTGAAGTTTATCAATAAGGGTTTATAAAGGAATGTAGTTAAGAAGGAAGAAATAGTGTTAATTTTAATTGCATATTTCAGAATTTTAAGGTCATAAATGCATATTTTTAAAAGTATATTTCAAGATTTTTTAAGGTTTAAAAAATTCACTCCCTAATTATGACCCTATTCAATTTAAAGGAATCTAACATGAAATATCAAATCTGACATACATAATGAAACTCTTGGATTACATGCAGTTTCATGTAAACAGTTATTCACCTGCTTGCAGTCCATTTGATAAAATACATAAATATGTCAGACTGAAATGTTTTCATTCATTATAGTTTATTTTTTCACTTGAACATATATTAAGTCTATTGTATTCCACACTAATATTTTATTTTCACTCTGTCTTATGAAATTGTATCATGATTATAATTATTAAACTTATTTTCAGAAATATATTAAATATTTATATTATTTTTGTACACAAACAAGCAAACCTGTAATTTTTATTCATGTTAAAGACACTCTTGAAATTAATAATTCAGCACTGAGCTATATCACAAAACAGTCACATTTTATGGTAGGTCTCAGAACTAACTGGGTTATTTGAGAAAGAATAACATAATTTTCTTAATTATTATTTTTCAAACAAAATAATAAATGCAATATTTGATGATAGAAGATTCTTTCTTGAAAGAAATGATTAATGAAAATACTTTTTTTGGTAATAATTTATTTTCTTGTTTTAAACAAACTGACCCAGTATGTGCTCCATAACTATACCTCCTAGAAAAAAACTAGCATTTACATGAATTAATAAATACTTGATGCCAATTAATTCTGAATGAAAACAGAAAAGTTTAAAATACAATAATATTAAAAAATATAACAATAATTTTGATTTCAGTCTTGAAGTAACCCTGAATAAAGGATTTACAGACTTGTTTTGCATTTATAAATGCCCTACAGTTGAGCCTGACTCAAAAGGGAAGCAGCCAAAGAATCAATCACCAACTTTAACAACATTTTTAAAGATATGATAGTACCTTTAAAGTGATGTAAAATTCCAATTTATGGTACAAGAGAATTAAATAAAATTTTATTCACAAGAGTTAAAGTTTAAACTCCAAGACAATGAAGAGAGTTGAAATGCAGATCTAAAAGTAGGAAGAAAATAGATCTCTAATAATTTCACAAATTACAACAAGCTATGAGAAAGAAGAGACTTGAACCCTAGACACCATGTTTTAGATAAATGCCTATTTATCCTCTTTTGACGAGGACATAATACAGGAATTACATTTATAGCGTCTAAAATGCCTTTTTCAGCATTAGAGCCTAAATAAGCTCATTTACCCAATAATTATCTCATATTTGGATTTTTAAAATTATATTGGTTATTTACAAACTTATTTTGCATTAAACTTAGTCAAATGATTTATTTCTCATAACGTTCATACACTAATAACCTTTTACCAGCCTCCTATATAATAAGAGTGTAGGCTTCAGTGGCCAGAGTTTGTAACTACTTGGCTACCCTAATCCTATATAATAGGCACTTTCTTAAACATCTGATGTCCAGTAATTAGGAACTTTTTTTTAATTAAAAATATTCCCTATTAATCAACCACCCCTCCAAATATCACCTTTTTCATGGAATCATTTGTGGTGTGTTTAATACAGGTTTTACTGTAATAGTATGAAATAATTTTAAGAAATTAAAATGTAAATAAATTATGGCAAATACAGATATACAAAAGTACACAGTAATACACTTCTATAATAAAACCTCTTAAATAGATTTATTTCCTTTAAATTACCTCATACAAACAAAACTGTCTTATATCAGGTATCTGTGTCTTATCACTCAAAACCATTTTATAACCAGAATAGATCCTTCTGCTTCTACATTGGTGTTTGGTGCATACTTTAATTTTATAATTATTGGCTGTGAATTATTTGTTTCACCCTCTGAGGTTTTACCATTTGACTGTGTTATTAAGAAAAAAGACAATAGTTCTGTAAGACGTAAATTGAAAGAATGATTTGTCAAACTTTGTGGTATCTCAGTTTGAGGTGAACATAAATGGACTAAAGGAAATTTCTGTGAAGTAATCTACTTGCGTATCACACTTGATTGTAATTTGTCACAATCGCATGAGATAAGAAGCACTGAAACTGCTGGAACTGGTGTTTCGATACCAAAATTCTGTCTCCAACAATTTCCAATTGAAGTTTAAATTATAAGAAACCCATACCTCTTCACATTTTTCTTCCTTAACCTTGATGTTGGTAACAATGGATGGTTCCAGCTCTTCCTATTAAACAAAAGTAATCATGTATATAAAAATGTGACTTCTGTTTGATGTTTCTTCAAAGTATAGTCATTGTTAATAAATAGCATCAAGCAAATGTTTTAATAATCAACCTTCGTCTGAGTGTACAAGTATGTGTGTGAGGATGTATGGATAAAACAAAAAGCAATTTTTTCTTGATATTTCCCACATTTCATCACATGGGCATTTTTACCTAGCAATTTTACTATTATATTACTTACAATTAATGCTAATAAAATTGAGTTTAGTTTTCAACATAAATTACAACTGTCAAAAAAGTACATGGATTTCCAGATCTTCATTTGAGCACACACACAACACAGAAACTCAAAAATGTGTATTGAAAATAATTAGATTGCTATCCTCAAGCAATAATTACCAGATACGTCAACTCCAATGAATGAATTTAAATGTATTAAAATGTTCTGAATTGTAAACTTAGGTATAGAGGAATTACTGTAAGAAGGGGCCACTTTGACAGATCAAGAAACAAATGAACTTCAAGCAGGGCGAAGACATTGTATAGTGATGAAGCCATTTACTAATGTGCTAACTATAAATGAACACACAGACAATGTGAGTGCATGGACATAACCTGCACTTGTGTTGCCAGCAGCGGCCAAGCAGTAGCTGTCAAAGTAGTCCCTTCTTATAGCAATCTCTCTGTATCAAGTTAAGAAAGAAACTTTCAAACCTCTGTATTGTTGGCAGCAATTAATGAATTTGACTGAAAAATAAATGAAGAGAGCACATTTAATTGATAAAGAAGTACCAATAAAGAAAAAAATTACAAGCATTACAAGGTTTTAGCTATTAATAACACTTATTCCAAGCAATAAATTCCATTAACCTCATTTTGTCAACTATAATATAAGGCACAACAAAACAATGTCAAAAATACATTCTATTATTAAGAGAAATAAAGGAATGAGTATCCTAACATATTTTTATCCTGCATTTTCATCACCACATCCTCCAAAATAAAAACTGTACAGAGGGTAAAAAATTAATGTTTTCATAATTAAAAATATTTTTTTCTATTTTTCACAAATTATTATTTTATTACTTCATATTTATTACTGGAAATAAAATGAAAATCATATATCCGCAGAAAATGATTCTAAGACAAATATTCATAAGTAACAAATAACAAATATCCAAGAATTACAATGATGAAAATATTGATAAAGAAGTTCACAAAATATATGCGCAAGTCCAATTTACAAATTGGTAATGTATTTGTAAATTGGTGAAGTATGAAGAACTAAACCATTGCCTCGATATACACTAAACAAAATATTCATAAAAGAATTTTAAATAATTATTTTCTTTCCTAAATTTTATTGTTTTGAATGATGATCAATGACACACTCAAGATGTATCATATAAACATTCAAGAACATGTAGTAAAGCTACAAAAAATAAGTTACAGATTCGTGTCTTGTTCTGTCAATATGCCAAATTAACACTACTTATTTTGTAAACATTTCTCGATTTTTCCAGTTGCATTCATTAATTCCTACGCTAGAAAAATGAAGTTTATTGTGTTCTTTTTTTACCATTTCTTCGGATGCTCTGGATGTGACAACAGGGGTAGATATTCCTTCCATTAGAATGGCAATATTTATTTATGTCTATATAGAAAAGATGAAAAATGCAATAAAACAACCGCGGACTCAAAAATTACCGCAGACCTGTCAGATCGAAGAATCAACCAACTCACGGAACCGAATGCACAGAACCGAGAACCATTCGCTTCTGCAATCATTGCATGAAATTTAATTCAATGGATCGTTCCGACTAACTATGTATATGAAATTAATATGTAGGTTTATTACAGTATCTAACCAAATCAATCCACGTAGACGAATCTACGAGAGTTCTGTATGCGATAAAGATTTATGCATCGCGGAAACCACTGTTGATTGCCGTGGTACGAACATTTGCAATTATTTTTTACGACACGAATATCGTAAGACCAACTACAAGATTGGAGATTTATCGGTCGTGGCCATCGGTCTGAGCCAAATGTATTAAATAAAAGCAAAAATAAAATTAATGTTTTAAACAAAGTTAAATTTAATTGTTTGAATTTCCAAGTCTATGTAAGTTTTACAAATGCTCATTAATCACTTGTCTCATATCTTATCGTTGGAAGGTCATTGATTTCTGTATTTATATTACTATTGTTTTTGCGTGCCACTGCACTACTGCTGCTATTGCTTGCCATCATACACGTTGTAACAAAAACTTATTTGTCCTTGACGAACCCCATCTGGCGTTCCGCGTTGGCTTGACGTTTGAGAGATATGAAATGACGATGATAGTGGTTTCATAATTACACGCAATGTAAAGACAGCCAGAGAGTATATATCAGAAGACAGCAGTTTTTCTAATAACTTCCCTTGTCGCCACAAACTCGGAATGAATAAATGAAGGGACCAAAACGTATCAGCTGAGCACTTCTGCCACGTATTGACGACTCCTCCCCCACCACACACACACACAAACAAAATTTCACCTTTTAAAGTATTGGTCAATAAACCTCCATCTCGATCAGGTTTTTCGTCTAGTTCCCCTGATCCTTTGGGCGAATGATAAGCTGCCCCCTTGATTTGCTTCTGGATGTAAATGTAACTTCATTATCAGTGCCCGTCTTCTAAAGTTCAGTAGTGTTCATAGACGGAAGTTTTGCCTTCAATTGATGTTTCAGCATCAAGGACTCACAAAACAGGGATTTTGGCTACATCACGTGTTAGAAGATTTTTTTCTTAATTTAGCAACTGTATTCATCCACATTTTCGTTTTCAGGGTCTGACAATGAATTTTTTTCTGCCGAAAATCCTCAGGTTTTTCGTGCAGCATTTCATAACTTTCCCTATACTACATATATTACTCCATATATACGTAATACGCATATACGTAGTACGTATACGGGAAAGTAAAAATTAAGGAAATATATTAACAGAATTGTACTTAGAAACTATTTATGATCTAAACCAAATACAAATATAGGGAGAAAACTGATTTTATAGGGGATGGGACTTTCTGGGTTAATTATAACAAATCATTTAATTTATGTATGAAGTTTTTATAGACTAACAACAGAAATACATTCAATGTTTCCAAGTGCATTGATATTTATATCCTAAAATTACATAGATTTTCATTCATAGTATTCAATACCATAATGAAATTACACAGATTTTCAAATCTAATCTCTGCAATTGTTAAATGAAAAAAAAAAATCACTTTCAATTATAAATTTAAATTAAATTTGTACTCTGGTCATTGCTGTATAATGTCTACAATTATAAGATACCCGATTCATCACCGGGCTCAAAGAGCGTTATAGGTGCTGGACGACGTTTGTTCTGATTATTTGAAATGTCTCTTTTTCTTTTCGATGATGCAGTCTGAGATTTCTTTAGCAAACGTGATAGATATGTTTCTGCAGAACTGGACTTTTCATGTTCTTGATTTTCGTATAGTCTGAAATATTCAAGCAAAGTTAAGGTTTGGTTTGGAGTAAGTGCACCTATATAATCTGCCAAGATTTCCAGAATTATACTTTTAGCTCTGTTACTTGTATCTTTCTTGTACGCAAGAAAAAGCCCTTTCTTATGGAAATGGAATTTGGCTTCCGAATTGGAAGACAATAAATAAAAGAAATTTGTAATCTTCTCTCGAATGATTTTTCTAATAGAATCTGGATTGTCAGCACGTATTTCCTTCTCAACATATACTTCCAGTGAATAAAATAACATATTCATGAGATATATTCCAGTTCTATGGTAATCAGATTTTAGCATATTTGCTATTGTTCTCTTTAATATGGTAGCATAATCCTTTTCTTTCTTTTTGAAGTACCAAAAGATCCAGATGCCTGCCTCTATTTTTAACATGCCATATGACAGTAATTTGCAATATGCATTCAAAACTGAAGTCCCAAATTCTAAGTTCACATCATCGAGTTCATAATTACGCAAGAAAACTAGTTCTTCAACATATTTTCTCAACAGTAACTGAAGGGAATCATCAGCTGATATTCCCAATTTTGGGAAATTATTTGCACCATTTTCACAAAATATAAGTAACATATCACAAATAACAAAGAATGCAGATTTACGGAACTCTCTTATTTCATGGATCAGAAATTGCTGAAGTACAATCAATAATTGTAGTAATTTACTTTGCAGGGAAATTTCGTCATTTTCATCTCTAGGTTGCTTTTCCAATTGAACTCTTGCTGAAAGTATGATCTTGTGGCACATTTTAATGCAAAGAACAATAAATGTCTTAGGTAATTGGAAGCATTCTTGAGGATGTGAAATGAAAGTTAAACAAATGTCCCATAACTTATCCCCTTCTTGATCTTTGTATTTATACATAATGACCAGCTTCTCCAAGTTTGATTCAAGAGTAAAGATACAATCATCATTTGCTAGTGAGATATCATGCGAATCCTGAAAGGAGTCTGCAATCTTTACAAATTTTTTGAGCACATTGTCTCCGATAGACCATCTTTTTAGGTATTCCTGCTTCTCTTCTCTAGGTTGTTGGGAAATGAAGTATTCTATAACCTCACAACAGCCTTCTATCACTCTTACATCTGAATTAATGTTAACCAAATATTTCAAAGTTTTCACAATTTTGTTTGCATTTTCATTTTTAGAAGGCATCTCGTCCAACTGTAGGCACATGCCAATCTGGAGCAGTGAACTTATTTTTTCAGCATCTTCTTTATACTTTGACAGCAATTTTGGAAAATGTTCGGTGAAGCAGTGCGTAATTTTTAACTTGTGTTCATTCCTCAATTTTTCAGAACATGATCTTGCTATGGCTGCAGACATAATGTTCATAAAGCAAGCTTCTTGTTCTGTAGTCATATTCTCAGTCTGTGTTATCAAAATGTAACTAATAGCATCCCAGTCTTGCAATGCACAGCAGTTGGTGGTGAGAATTTCTACCAAGTACGATGCATGCTTTGGAAGCTTTACCTGTGCTAGAAAGTCAGTAAGGTGAATTAGTATCCAAATATTGGAAGGATTTTCGTGTTTGGGTTCATGACTCATTTTCAACCAGGTAAGAAGAAAATCACCAGCTGCTTTAGCTATGTTTTTGTGTTTACTTAAAACAAGCCAAAAAATTGATTGTTTATGTCCTGTCAATATTTCTTGTCCGTAAGCCTTCAAAATTTCAGTTAACAGACTCAATGCCTCAACTGACACAAGTAATGATTTATCAAGAGTCAAGTTTACAATATCAACTATATGTTTGCTGACAAAAACCTCAAGATTATAATCAAGTGTTTGTGTCTTGAACAAATATAATAATGACTTGAGAATTGTTCTTCGAACTTGGACCGAGGGGCTGAACACAAGCAATGCGTAGTACTTGAGATACCTTTCAACTATGAATATTTGTGGACATATTTGCATCCACTGAACTGCTTCATCAAGACACATTATTTGAATTTCTGACATCTTATCCAAGATCCTCTTCTTAAATAGCTGTTTTAGTAAATAATCATTCAATAATTGGGTTAATTCCTCTTCATTTTTCTTATGTTTGAAATACTTCTCCTGAAATTGATTAAAGTGATCTGATGACTCAAAGTTAGTGTCTTTGCCTTTTCCCCCATATAATCGTTCTTCAAATGCTAATGACCGTTTATAGTAAGCTTGATGTACACCTACAAGAGCTGTTATGGCCTTTAATCCAACCAGGGTGCCCACATAACGAAAAACTCTCAAATTACTGTGTGACATGTGTACCACAAATTTGAAGAATGTGACCAACAAGAAGTCATCAAATAATAAACTATCACAATTAAAAATTAACTTTTGAAAGAAAACTACTATCTTTACATATATCTGTTTACTTTTGATTGGCGGTTCCTTAGTAGCTGGTATTGATGCACTCAAGTGTTCAATTATTTCTTTTGGATTGTGTTCTTCCATTACTTCAAAAGTTAATGTGCTGTTATGACCTGCAGCATCAAATAAGAGCTGAACAAGATCTAAAATTCCCCACGTTTTATTTATTCTGTATTTGGTAAGAAAGTCGTCAATGATTTCTTCTATAGGTACAGAAGGAAGCATTTGAAGAATACTTTTTTTCTTTGCAGAAGCGAGTTTTTTCCCCTCCATTTTTCAGTCCAAGTTCCAAAATTCTGAAAACAAATGATAATGATTTTCAAAATTGCATCATCAAGTGAATTTTGTATTGTATTTATTTAAATCTTAATTATGTATTTACTTATTTATCTGCAAAAAATAATTAAAGCATATAGTGGATTGTGACATATGGTGAGGAAGAGTTAAATGTTCCCTTGAAGGATTTTTAATACATTTAGAGATGCATTACGTAAGGACGCAAACAGATTTTTATGCAACATAGATATTTATAGTTGTAACAAGTTGAAGGAATTTCACTCCACAGCTTAGTACAAGAAATTTACATATAATTCATGTTTGTTACTTTACAACTTATTAACAAATGACATTAAACAATAAAATCAATAACAAAGGTTTAAATGCCAAAAAAAATCTTTTTCGCTGCAGAGTTTTCTATGTTATATTAGAGACTGTATGGAACATCAAAAAGGAAATTAATATTTATTTTAACAAGAATACACATGCATCAGTTACAGTTTTACTACACCATTTGAAGAGACTGAATATGCCTGCATCAAGTATTGTACTTTAGCTTCAAGGTTCAACTTTCAAATATAATCACTTTCACTTAAACTTTCACAATAACATTTTCAAAATTATAAAATGATATCCAAAATATGTCTAACTCAAATCTTTACTTTTTAAAACGATTAGATTAAAACCTTTTTAAAAGAAATTAGGCAATAAACCCGTAGTTGGGGAATATATAAAACCCGCTAAGAACAACGGTTATTGAACTGGTGCTTATAAACATAAACTAGTGTTATAAAAAATAAACTCTTTTTTATAGTCAGAATATAATTGTCCAGAATTTTTAATGATTTAAAATTATCATTTAAAATTGAAGAGAATTGAAGTTCAACAGCTGAAAAAAGCTTATTTTTGTTTCAATGAGGTCCTTTCACAAACAGAATCAAACATTCACTAACACAAATAAACTATCTGCATTATCTTCTTCTGTATTTAAAGTATTTATTTTTTAAATACACCTATTTTATGTATTTAAATTCGTCTCTAAAATGCATGCCCAAAAACTCAAAAATAGTTCTTCGAATACAAAATGTGTTGAAAATACCCATTTCAAATACAAAATTTTAAATACTGTCCAACCCTGAGAGTACTATACTATTAGATACTGTACTATATTACTACTGCAGGCCTACTATACTACCTATGTAAAATGTGATTAGAATACTAAATTTATATTCAATGTGTACATAAGTTTGAGAATGTTAATGTATGTAAGCAATTGTAATAATGTAGTAATGTAATGTTATTCCAAACCGAAGTGGCATTTTTTACAAAACATTG